AGGACAGGCTCACATGATGTCGCGATCTCCGTGGTGCTCTTTATGTAGATATATGTGTAGTCGGCAGTTGCTACGTATCACCAGGTGGGGGAGCTGTTTTACTATTCAAATCTTTTGCTATTGTGGTTACAAAAAATGAGTGACTCTAAGATGGAACCAAGCTACCTCTTTCGCACTAGCAATAAATAAACTATTGATTTTGTAACAAAATATAACATGGTTTATAAGGGACCATCCATAAATTCACGTTATAGGAATGGATAAAGTGTGACATTGTCAGTAAAGTCACTGATAATATAATATTACATACAGACACCCCATCCCATACAAGAAAATGGTTCCTTCCTAACTCGGGCTATTCTTCGGGCTATTTTATTTCGCCACCGTAGACGCTAGATGCCGCTATATCTGAAGCAGTTCGGATTACTAGTGGGTGATTAGTAATAAAGCATGAAAATAGATGGCAGGAAATTCGGTCTACATGACATCTGTTTTGCAAAGATACGTACATAATAGATATATAACTGTATCGAACTCCTGATTGAGTACGATCGAAAATTCAATGTAGGTACAACGTTGTTCGCTGACGAACGGCTAATGTACCTATATATCTATGTACTATCACAGATAATATATGGTAGTGTTGGAGAAGTATCAAACTTCGTAGAAAAATCATTAAATATAGATCTCCTTATCATACATGTCTTAGATTTCATGACGTCACATTTCAGTTTTAGTAATAAAACACCAAATTTCTAACTATTAAAATGTTGCCAGCTGTGGCAGATGGGAGGTTGAATAATACTGAAATTAGTGTGAGGTATGAATGACCCTAGTTACTTTTAAATTCTATATAAATATAAAGTAGAACTTAACCAGAATATTTCGAGTTATTTATCGTCTCCTTTAAGTTCTACATCTAAAGGGACTGCCTTATATAAGAGCGCACGTACTCAGCTTCTAAAAGGTAAAGGTTCTTCTGAAGGGTAAATTACATTTGCTTCTGGTAGAGAAATCACATTTATCGGTCGGGATGAAGTTTGTTCAAAACTCTGAGCAATTACATCGTACAAATTTCATTCCTAGTACCTCCCCTCTCTTTTCTCTTTAATACGCTGGATGGCGGGACACTAGTGGAGGTGATAAAACGAACATAAGGTTATGTTAAGTAGCCCATCGTGGTAATTTCACCATTACTTTATCACGATGGTTTCCACGGGGAGTTCAGCCAGATAGTAGATTGATAGCAATGTGATTATTAGTCCACATTACTAACAAACTCCTTCTTCCTTCCAACCCATTGTCACACTTTATCGAGCCCGTAATTCATGAATGATCCTTACAATTTATATGAGCCAGCCAAAGGAAGGGAAGTGTTGTCCCCTCTCCTGAATGATCCATATTGATTTTTAATATTTTTTTATAAATAACGATACAAATAGGTTTATATTTTACACAATATTTATGTAAATTAAAGGTTATATAATGTAGCCATGTTTAACTTACGCAATGTTAATTTACTTCATCATCATCATATATTAATTGTAAAAGATATATCAAGCTATAAGCCATATAGAATACACACGAAATTAAACCACTTTCCCCAACAAATAACGTTCAAATCTGAAAAGTAAATGTATGACGTCATAAATTTTATATCAAAATTTAGTAGAATCGACAATTTGTATGTAATTAAAAAAAAAGCAAATTTCGACTTTACTTCATTGTGAGTGTCGACGGCCTCAGTGGTATAGTGGTTTCACACACCGCACCGTCTTACTTGGTGGCGGATTCGATTATTTCTATTCATGAGCATGTTTGTATTAGTCTTGATGTTTTCTACATATATTATGTACATATTTCCAAACATATATTTAAGTATTTATATCAGTTGTCTAGTACCCATAACACAAGCTCTGCTTACAGTGGAACTAGAGATGCCCCTGTATGGCATATTATTGTCTGTTCAGTATCAGGAACACTGGCTTTCTGCTTGGTATACCGTTTACAACTCTTCTATTATTCAATACTAGCAGTTCCCGCGACTTCGTACGCGTGGAATTTAAGATAGATAGATAGATAGATAGATAGAATATACTTTATTTGCAACGTACAGTAATTATTTAACTTTATTGTTCTAAAATTTAGAGAATTTTCTAAAATAAAATTACCCTAAGCTACTCCTTACTACATCAGCTACCTGCCAAAAAAAGTCCCGTCAAAATCGGTCCAGCCATTTCAGAGATTAGCTGGAACAAACAGACCGACAGACAGACAAAAATGGTAAAAAATGTTATTTCAATATTACAAACAGACACTCCAATTTTATTTATATGTATAGATGTATAGATTAATTATTATATTAGTAATTCCTTCCAATATATTTATATGTTACAATATATATGTAAATTAATAAGTATAACAAAATTCATAGAACTAGAAGTCTTTAAGGCGTTTGTTGATTGTATACTTGCGGGTGTGTGGAATAAAATATTTTTATCTTTCATACACTTTTTTATTTATTCATGACATTTCACGTTCATTTTGAAGCAGAACCTTACTAATATTATAAACGCAAAACTTTGTGAATAAAAATTGAGGTAAAGTTAAAGAAAAGAACATATTTTTACAAGATATTTATTCCAAAGCTTACATAGTAAATGATCACAAAGTTTTAAGATATGCGAATGTTTATACTATTGATATAATTCGAATAAAATCACAAATTTTAATACTAGGAGTAAATAAAATTTCACTATGACTACATTTCCCAATAAATACAGATCAGGGTTACATAAATAAATTAAATGATATTAGACAGAGATCCATAAATTTAGTAATATTCTTTAATAACAAGAAAAAATACAATATCTTCCAAATGGTAGAAAAAACACGTCTGCGTGTGTACCTCAGTCTCACCTATTTCAGCCGCCAAGCTTGCTTTATAAGCTGTTTCGGTTGTAGGGTAAGGTAATACAGATAAATTACAGGGTCTAGAGACATGCATCTTGCTACTGAATAGATTTATATTATTTTGTTTAATTCCGCTACAATTAGCATGTGAGATCACAAATATGGAGTGCGGAAGCGCGACCTTCTCTATTGGTGATTAAATTCCGACCGTTATTGAGTCTACACCTATACTGCAACACGTGTTTCGCCTCTCAACGAGGCATCATCAGGTATTGAATAGAGTTCGGGTAAAGCTCGAAAATTCGACTTTTCGTCGAACAAACAAACGAAAAGTCTCACTAATTGTAGCGGAATTAAACAAAGTAATATATTATTAATTTTTAAGTAGTGTAAGCATTAAGTAGTGAAATGGACTTGCGTAAATTAACACATAATTCGATAAAAAAAAATTCTGAGCGGATGTATAGTTGTATAAAAATTCTGTTCCAAATTTAAAATTGTTAAATTGACAATTCGCTCACCTAATAATAACAATCGACTTTGTAGTTTTGCCATAAGATTGAATTTCCAAAATCTATAAATATTAATTCACCTAATAAAAATATTCGACTTAAGTTTTGTCAATAGGATCTAATTTCCAAAATCTGTAAATATTAATTCGAATACCAAATAATAATCGACTTTAAAATTTTGTCATAAGATCTAATTTCCAAAATTTAAAATATTAGAGTCAATGCATTTTATTACAAGACGTTGCGAATTGTTAATAACAGCCTTGTGTCTAAAAGTTGAAAGTTCAAATTCCAATATCATTAAATAAAATATTCTACGTTCAAAATTTGGTCCCAATTACAAATTATGTTTCAGTTTATCTATACTAATATTATAAGCGAGAGAGCGGATTTTATTATATTAATAGTAGGGCACAAGATGGCGGCCTATGAACAGTGACTCGGACAAAATGACATTACACGAGCAGCTCGCGAACGTAACGAAAGCTAGTGTCTAATAATACTTATGTGGATGTATAAATATATTTTTTCCATATATTATATACACATAAATGTCAATATTTTAGCTGCCATAACACTTTGCCTTCGTCTGTTTTTTTAAATAAAAGATAGCACTACATACATACTATAAACAATAATACGCACGACAACAATGTCGCGATAAAAATAAAAGTATCCAGTGCCGTAAAACATAAAAAAAGTAGTTTTCGTTTGTTTATTTTTCGTAATTGTCTATTTTTATACAAATTTGTGGTAGAAATTTATTATAGTGTTACTAGGGATACAATCGCAAACCTGAAGTTTGGAACTCCAACAACAAGAGCTCAAGGTAGATGCATTTATAATATTAGTATAGATTGCAAATATAGAAAATAACTGAAATATTACTCAATAATGTAGGGGACAAGTAGATAATAATCTTTTCAATATCAAAATGGACGTTATGTTAATTTTTACACTAATATTTTTATAACTAATTACGGGAATTTAATAAAACGTGGTAGAAATTCGATTATATTTGTTTTAAATTATAAGTTTGCACATCATTAAAGTTCTATTGTCAAAGATAATATTTCTATAACCACAGACACTGGCAGTCGCACAGGCAATAAACAAAAGATTATAAGTATACGTATGTGTGTCAAATAAATGGTGAACAAAGGAAAATATTGTTCACCTTTTTACGAAATATACGCAGACCGAGGAGTATGAAATTTTACACACTTACAGATTATAGAACAGATAGATAATATAGAAATTGAGAAGAATAGAGAAGAAATACAGAATTATAATATTTTGTAAAAAAAATATGGATAAAAAATACATTAAATCAATAAAAAAACATTACACAAACTTATATTTGAAACACACGCATATATACACTTTTGTTTATTATTAAAGTCTATGGTCAAATTGTGAATAGATTAATATTGTTTGTCTTTAATATTAGTCTATAGTCTTGTTGAATATAACTTAATTATGGTCGAATATAGACCACTGGCCGACCACTAATAAATTATTATTATTTAAACAAGTAATAATATGTACCTCACCTATATGAATATAGATTTCTTTGTTTTTTTTTTTATTAAATTCCCGAAAACAGTTATATAAATGTATAATCTTGTATTTAATATTATAATAATTCTTGTATGGGTTTATTGAGGGGTGTAAGGAACCCTCTTTTTCTCCTTACTCTATCTGATTTGATTACATAAAGAAATAAGCTATTATTCTATTATTGCTAGTGATGTGTATACATTTAAGTCTTAATATTATTGCTTACAATAGTAAAATTGCACGTCGTGTTAAAATTTTTATTAAAAATTGTATTATAAAAACACTTTATATAAAGTTAGTCCATAAAAGTACCAAAACCAAAAAGCCAGGTAGAATAATAATTAAACTAGAGTTGCCAACCGTCCTGTTTTCTCAGGACATGTCCTAGTTTTTGCAGTGTCCTGGGAAATCCATAATAGTTATTTGGCAGCGTCCTGGGTTTTTAAAATATCCGCGCCACTTAATTACTGATTTTCAAAAGTATAATTTTACCAAATACTTTTTATTAAAATACTGATTATATTAAATACTTGAATTTTACTACATATTAATATAACTATAAATGCGTTCTGTTTTTAACTGGTTAGTCCTGTTATTTTGAACTTTCAATACTATTTTTTTTAATTTGGGTTTGGCAACCCTAAATCAAACTAATGCACGTTCACAAAGAAATTAGGTGGTAATTCGTAAATGACTTTGAACTTTTCATAATAAACTATGACTAGTTTTCGTTACTATAGAAATTAATTTGATTTTAACTCAAAATTAAAGTTTCTTATGGATCACCAACGCGGATATGACACCCCTCAGCGTAACCGTTTACCATCAGATGGGCCGTATGCTTGTTTGCCACCATTGTAATATAAAAGAAAAGAGTACCAACTACTGGCTTTCGTTTTTGTATGCTGTTAAAGACTACTTTTATATACTGTTTTATTGTATATTAATAAAAAAAACTGTAAAAATGTATATAAAGACAATATTTTCATTATAAAAAGTTATTCTTTTTATTTTTATTCAAGTAAAAAACAATTGACAATGCCTCAGACCATAAGTAGAAGAAATTCCCTTAAAATTCTTGCTTTATTCTCATTCGTAATTATTTTCTTGCATGCAGGCCGATGTAGGAAACTGTTCGCTCCTCCGTCAAGCATAAGGTCTATAATTATCTGTACATTCCACAGTGAACTTACGACCTTTTTGTATTGCGTATCATACATATGACAAACTTGTTAATATTATGTCTATCTATGTATATATATATAAAAGTATAATTTTGTGCGTTTTGTAATAATAATAACGACTTATCAATATAGATATAGATAGGGGATCATCTATAAATTAAGTCACAAATCAGAGGCTGTAAGCAGTGTGACATAGTATGTGTGACAAAGGAGTGGACTCGTCACAAAAGTCATAAATTTCGAGATTCAATTTTCAAAATCTAATACATTTAAGTCAGTATTAAAACACGAAATTTGTATTATCATTAATAGATGATAATGTAATGGTGTATCCGTCTGCGCTGTACGATGGTTTCCAGAGGGAACCGCGTGGAGGTCAACCTGACATTGTTAGCAATGGGGTCATCAGTCCACATTACTCCCTCAACAATCTCCATTCCATTTTGGGTTATGAAGGGGACTAGTTTCACAATTGATTAAAAAAAATCACGAAATTCGTGTGACGTCATTTATAGATGGCCCCTACATAGATTGGTCAAATAATTACCAGCATATTTCTAAGATCAAAGAAATCATAAAAATCGGTTCAACAACTGCGACGACTATATAAAAATCGCAATTGAATTGAGATTAGTTTCCTTTAAAGTCGGTTAATAGAATACTTTTTATTAGAGATTCCGAATCTATAGATGCCAGTGAGATATTAAATGAAAAAAATAATTAATATAAATTGAACCTTATCGCATTGACATAAGGTTCTTGTTAGCTTTGATGGCTGCACGCAGCTTCTTGACTAGAGCCGCAGGCTGTATCAGCACTGATATCTCCGAGCCGTGCATGGAGAGGCGGTGCATTTCTTCTTCACCACCCTAATGGAGAAGAATAGTTTATAACAGGGATGAGCAACAAGCGGCCCGTAGACGCTTGCGGCCCCTTAAATATATTTATGCGGCCCGCAAACCATTATTAAAACTGATTTTTTTTGCACTTTCTTCCATCAATATATTGTTATAAAATTAATTATAATAAAATGGTAGTACATACTATAACTCAGCAACTTGTTTACACATGCAATATGAACGCTTCGCGATTATTAATAAGGGCAACATTATGTGCGGCCCCCAAAAAACAATATAATTTACATTGGCCCTTTTAATAGAAAAGATGCTCACCGCTGGTTTATAGAATAGTTTCTGTTTCACCCGATGGGTTGCATTATTAGATGAATGGTCCAGGGATATAGTTACATGAGGTGGTGTGTACCTTGAGGAGCGTGAGCGGGCGGTTGTTGACCTCCGTGACGGCCCAGCGGCCCGCGGGGGGGACGCCCGCGCGGCCCGCGGCCGACGCGCGCTCCACCGACACGATGCAGCACTCGCCGTCCAACTTTATACCTTAACGACATACAAACAAGACACTTCATCGATATTCTTTGCCTACACTACCGCCCGCGCGGCCCGCGGCCGACGCGCGCTCCACCGACACGATGCAGCACTCGCCGTCCAACTTTATACCTTAACGACATACAAACAAGACACTTCATCGATATTCTTTGCCTACACTACCGCCCGCGCGGCCCGCGGCCGACGCGCGCTCCACCGACACGATGCAGCACTCGCCGTCCAACTTTATACCTTAACGACATACAAACAAGACACTTCATCGATATTCTTTGCCTACACTACCGCCCGCGCGGCCCGCGGCCGACGCGCGCTCCACCGACACGATGCAGCACTCGCCGTCCAACTTTATACCTTAACGACATACAAACAAGACACTTCATCGATATTCTTTGCCTACACTACCGCCCGCGCGGCCCGCGGCCGACGCGCGCTCCACCGACACGATGCAGCACTCGCCGTCCAACTTTATACCTTAACGACATACAAACAAGACACTTCATCGATATTCTTTGCCTACACTACCGCCCGCGCGGCCCGCGGCCGACGCGCGCTCCACCGACACGATGCAGCACTCGCCGTCCAACTTTATACCTTAACGACATACAAACAAGACACTTCATCGATATTCTTTGCCTACACTACCGCCCGCGCGGCCCGCGGCCGACGCGCGCTCCACCGACACGATGCAGCACTCGCCGTCCAACTTTATACCTTAACGACATACAAACAAGACACTTCATCGATATTCTTTGCCTACACTACCGCCCGCGCGGCCCGCGGCCGACGCGCGCTCCACCGACACGATGCAGCACTCGCCGTCCAACTTTATACCTTAACGACATACAAACAAGACACTTCATCGATATTCTTTGCCTACACTACCGCCCGCGCGGCCCGCGGCCGACGCGCGCTCCACCGACACGATGCAGCACTCGCCGTCCAACTTTATACCTTAACGACATACAAACAAGACACTTCATCGATATTCTTTGCCTGAGGCGAGTGCAGATGGCACTCCAAACCAAAGGAAGGACAACTCCCACCTGACGGATACGACTAGTCTAAGGTGCCCTCAGCTAGGGAGTTCGGACCCCGGCTCAGGACGTCGTAATTTCTATAGCCGTTTGAATTATACACAGTATCAATAATAAATTGCTACAGCTTATAAGTAACCTCAAAAACGAAAATATAGCGCGTTGTAGCAATTGACAAGTGACAAATATATAATAACTAAATTTAGACGGTTACCACTTACCATCAGGTGGGCCGTTAGTTTGTTTACCATTTAATTATATAAAAAAATGCACACTTACCTAAACTTTCATTCTCTCTTCTATTTAATACGTAAATAATTCCTAAAGGCACACGATAAAACAGCATGTCCACCTGAAAACAAACAATCGTATAGAAATTACACTACAATTATATTATGATACTAGGTACACCCGCGTCTTCGTCCGCGTGGAATTTAACTTGATTTTTCTAAAATAAAAATAGCCTAAGTAAGTCCTTACTACATCAGCTACCTGCCAATAAAAATCCCGTCAAAATCAGTCCAGCCATTTCAGAGATTATCCGGAACAGACAGGCAAAAATTGTAAAAAATGTTATTTTGGTGTGTGTACGCTAATCACATGCATGTAGTAAAAAATTGTTATTTCAATATTGTTTTTCATTTAAATTTTCAAACTATATATCTGAATTATTATTGTTATGGTGAAATTACCTGATGCGAGGGTTCAGCCCGGAACAGCATCCGCGCGTGTGCGGCGTCCCGGGGGGCCGTGCCGCGGACGGCCGCCACGCGGTCACCCGCCCGCCCCCCCGCGCGCCACCCGCCGCCGCCCCACCGCGCCACCCTGACACGCACACATATGTTACGTCATCATTGTTACGTCCCGGGAGCCGTGTCTGATGATAAGTGATCCACCGGCCAAGAGCACCCGGAACACCAGGGGTATTGCAAGAGAATTGCCGGGCATTTAACAAGAAATGAGCACTTTATTGAATATATTAACTAGTCGTATTAAGCCAATCGTAGTTACAATCAGTTGATCACGTAACATCTTACGAGATCTGCAGTACTAACCACACGCAGCGCCGCCTGCCGCCGGTGCAGTGCTCAGTGCTCAGTGCTCAGCACTCAGCACTCAGCACTCAGCACTGGGTACTCACCACACGCGGGCGTCGTAGTCCGCGAACACCGGCGGGTCGCGGGCGGCGGCGGCGGCCGGCAGCGCGGCCCCGCGCCGCAGGTCGGCCCGCAGCGCCGCCTGCCGCCGGTGCAGTGCTCAGTGCTCAGCACTCAGCACTCAGCACTCAGCACTCAGCACTGGGTACTCACCACACGCGGGCGTCGTAGTCCGCGAACACGGGCGGGTCGCGGGCGGCGGCGGCGGCCGGCAGCGCGGCCCCGCGCCGCAGGTCGGCCCGCAGCGCCGCCTGCCGCCGGTGCAGTGCTCAGTGCTCAGTGCTCAGCACTCAGCACTCAGCACTGGGTACTCACCACACGCGGGCGTCGTAGTCCGCGAACACCGGCGGGTCGCGGGCGGCGGCGGCGGCCGGCAGCGCGGCCCCGCGCCGCAGGTCGGCCCGCAGCGCCGCCTGCCGCCGGTGCAGTGCTCAGTGCTCAGTGCTCAGCACTCAGCACTCAGCATGGGTACTCGCGGGCGTCGTAGTCCGCGAACCCGGGCGGGTCGCGGGCGGCGGCGGCGGCCGGCAGCGCGGCCCCGCGCCGCAGGTCGGCCCGCAGCGCCGCCTGCCGCCGGTGCAGTGCTCAGTGCTCAGTGCTCAGCACTCAGCACTCAGCACTCAGCACTGGGTACTCACCACACGCGGGCGTCGTAGTCCGCGAACACCGGCGGGTCGCGGGCGGCGGCGGCGGCCGGCAGCGCGGCCCCGCGCCGCAGGTCGGCCCGCAGCGCCGCCTGCCGCCGGTGCAGTGCTCAGTGCTCACCAGCACTCAGCACTCAGCACTGGGTACTCACCACACGCGGGCGTCGTAGTCCGCGAACACCGGCGGGTCGCGGGCGGCGGCGGCGGCCGGCAGCGCGGCCCCGCGCCGCAGGTCGGCCCGCAGCGCCGCCTGCCGCCGGTGCAGTGCTCAGTGCTCAGTGCTCAGCACACTCAGCACTCAGCACTGGGTACTCACCACACGCGGGCGTCGTAGTCCGCGAACACGGGCGGGTCGCGGGCGGCGGCGGCGGCCGGCAGCGCGGCCCCGCGCCGCAGGTCGGCCCGCAGCGCCGCCTGCCGCCGGTGCAGTGCTCAGTGCTCAGCACTCAGCACTCAGCACTCAGCACTGGGTACTCACCACACGCGGGCGTCGTAGTCCGCGAACACCGGCGGGTCGCGGGCGGCGGCGGCGGCCGGCAGCGCGGCCCCGCGCCGCAGGTCGGCCTGCAGCGCCGCCTGCCGCCGGTGCATAGTGCTCAGCACTCAGCACTCAGCACTCAGCACTGGGTACTCACCACACGCGGGCGTCGTAGTCCGCGAACACCGGCGGGTCGCGGGCGGCGGCGGCGGCCGGCAGCGCGGCCCCGCGCCGCAGGTCGGCCCGCAGCGCCGCCTGCCGCCGGTGCAGTGCTCAGTGCTCAGCACTCAGCAAGCACTGGGTACTCACCACACGCGGGCGTCGTAGTCCGCGAACACGGGCGGGTCGCGGGCGGCGGCGGCGGCCGGCAGCGCGGCCCCGCGCCGCAGGTCGGCCCGCAGCGCCGCCTGCCGCCGGTGCAGTGCTCACTCAGCACTCAGCACTCAGCACTGGGTACTCACCACACGCGGGCGTCGTAGTCCGCGAACACCGGCGGGTCGCGGGCGGCGGCGGCGGCCGGCAGCGCGGCCCCGCGCCGCAGGTCGGCCCGCAGCGCCGCCTGCCGCCGGTGCAGTGCTCAGTGCTCAGTGCTCAGCACTCAGCACTCAGCACTGGGTACTCACCACACGCGGGCGTCGTAGTCCGCGAACACGGGCGGGTCGCGGGCGGCGGCGGCGGCCGGCAGCGCGGCCCCGCGCCGCAGGTCGGCCCGCAGCGCCGCCTGCCGCCGGTGCAGTGCTCAGTGCTCAGTGCTCAGCACTCAGCACTCAGCACTCAGCACTGGGTACTCACCACACGCGGGCGTCGTAGTCCGCGAACACCGGCGGGTCGCGGGCGGCGGCGGCGGCCGGCAGCGCGGCCCCGCGCCGCAGGTCGGCCCGCAGCGCCGCCTGCCGCCGGTGCAGTGCTCAGTGCTCAGTGCTCAGCACTCAGCACTCAGCACTCAGCACTGGGTACTCACCACACGCGGGCGTCGTAGTCCGCGAACACCGGCGGGTCGCGGGCGGCGGCGGCGGCCGGCAGCGCGGCCCCGCGCCGCAGGTCGGCCCGCAGCGCCGCCTGCCGCCGGTGCAGTGCTCAGTGCTCAGTGCTCAGCACTCAGCACTCAGCACTCAGCACTGGGTACTCACCACACGCGGGCGTCGTAGTCCGCGAACACCGGCGGGTCGCGGGCGGCGGCGGCGGCCGGCAGCGCGGCCCCGCGCCGCAGGTCGGCCCGCAGCGCCGCCTGCCGCCGGTGCAGTGCTCAGTGCTCAGTGCTCAGCACTCAGCACTCAGCACTCAGCACTGGGTACTCACCACACGCGGGCGTCGTAGTCCGCGAACACCGGCGGGTCGCGGGCGGCGGCGGCGGCCGGCAGCGCGGCCCCGCGCCGCAGGTCGGCCCGCAGCGCCGCCTGCCGCCGGTGCAGTGCTCAGTGCTCAGTGCTCAGCACTCAGCACTCAGCACTCAGCACTGGGTACTCACCACACGCGGGCGTCGTAGTCCGCGAACACCGGCGGGTCGCGGGCGGCGGCGGCGGCCGGCAGCGCGGCCCCGCGCCGCAGGTCGGCCCGCAGCGCCGCCTGCCGCCGGTGCAGTGCTCAGTGCTCAGTGCTCAGCACTCAGCACTCAGCACTGGGTACTCACCACACGCGGGCGTCGTAGTCCGCGAACACGGGCGGGTCGCGGGCGGCGGCGGCGGCCGGCAGCGCGGCCCCGCGCCGCAGGTCGGCCCGCAGCGCCGCCTGCCGCCGGTGCAGTGCTCAGTGCTCAGCACTCAGCACTCAGCACTGGGTACTCACCACACGCGGGCGTCGTAGTCCGCGAACACGGGCGGGTCGCGGGCGGCGGCGGCGGCCGGCAGCGCGGCCCCGCGCCGCAGGTCGGCCCGCAGCGCCGCCTGCCGCCGGTGCAGTGCTCAGTGCTCAGTGCTCAGCACTCAGCACTCAGCACTCAGCACTGGGTACTCACCACACGCGGGCGTCGTAGTCCGCGAACACCGGCGGGTCGCGGGCGGCGGCGGCGGCCGGCAGCGCGGCCCCGCGCCGCAGGTCGGCCCGCAGCGCCGCCTGCCGCCGGTGCAGTGCTCAGTGCTCAGTGCTCAGCACTCAGCACTCAGCACTGGGTACTCACCACACGCGGGCGTCGTAGTCCGCGAACACGGGCGGGTCGCGGGCGGCGGCGGCGGCCGGCAGCGCGGCCCCGCGCCGCAGGTCGGCCCGCAGCGCCGCCTGCCGCCGGTGCAGTGCTCAGTGCTCAGCACTCAGCACTCAGCACTCAGCACTGGGTACTCACCACACGCGGGCGTCGTAGTCCGCGAACACCGGCGGGTCGCGGGCGGCGGCGGCGGCCGGCAGCGCGGCCCCGCGCCGCAGGTCGGCCCGCAGCGCCGCCTGCCGCCGGTGCAGTGCTCAGTGCTCAGCACTCAGCACTCAGCACTCAGCACTGGGTACTCACCACACGCGGGCGTCGTAGTCCGCGAACACCGGCGGGTCGCGGGCGGCGGCGGCGGCCGGCAGCGCGGCCCCGCGCCGCAGGTCGGCCCGCAGCGCCGCCTGCCGCCGGTGCAGTGCTCAGTTCAGCACTTTCAGCACTGGGTACTCACCACACGCGGGCGTCGTAGTCCGCGAACACCGGCGGGTCGCGGGCGGCGGCGGCGGCCGGCAGCGCGGCCCCGCGCCGCAGTTCGGCCGGGTTGGCCGCCTTCCTCCGGTGCGGTGCTCCGTGCTCAGTGCTCAGCACTCAGCACTCAGCACTCAGCACTGGGTACTCACCACACGCGGGCGTCGTAGTCCGCGAACACCGGCGGGTCGCGGGCGGCGGCGGCGGCCGGCAGCGCGGCCCCGCGCCGCAGGTCGGCCCGCAGCGCCGCCTTTATTTGGGTACTCACCACACGCGGGCGTCGTAGGCCGCGAACACCGGCGGGTCGCGGGCGGCGGCGGCGGCCGGCAGCGCGGCCCCGCGCCGCAGGTCGGCCCGCAGCGCCGCCTTGCAGTGCTCAGTGCTCAGTTTCAGCACTCAGCTCAGCACTCAGCACTGGGTACTCACCACACGCGGGCGTCGTAGTCCGCGAACACGGGCGGGTCGCGGGCGGCGGCGGCGGCCGGCAATGTTGCAGTGCTTTTGCACTCCGCACTGGGTACTCACCACACGCGGGCGTCGTAGTCCGCGAACACGGGCGGGTCGCGGGCGGCGGCGGCGGCCGGCAGCGCGGCCCCGCGCCGCAGGTCGGCCCGCAGCGCCGCCTGCCGCCGGTGCAGTGCTCAGTGCTCACTCAGCACTCAGCACTGGGTACTCACCACACGCGGGCGTCGTAGTCCGCGAACACGGGCTTCGCGGGCGGCGGCGGCGGCCGTTCCCGCGCCGCAGGTCGGCCCGCAGCGCCGCCTTTTGCAGTTACTCAGCACTCAGCACTGGGTACTCACCACACGCGGGCGTCGTAGTCCGCGAACACCGGCGGGTCGCGGGCGGCGGCGGCGGCCGGCACCAAAGGTCGGCTTATCTTCAATGTTAGTCCGCGAACACGGGCGGGTTTGGCGGCGGCCGGCAGCGCGGCCCCCCGCCGCAGGTCGGCCCGCAGCGCCGCCTGCCGCCGGTGCCGTGCTCAGTGCTCAGTGCTCAGCACTCAGCACCAAACTCAGCACTGGGTACTCACCACGCGGGCGTCGTAGTCCGCGAACACGGGCGGGTCGCGGGCGGCGGCGGCGGCCGGCGCGCGGCCCCGCGCCGCAGGTCGACCCGCAGCGCCGCCTGCCGCCGGTGCAGTGCTCAGTGCTCAGCACTCAAACTCAGCACTCAGCACTGGGTACTCACCACACGCGGGCGTCGTAGTCCGCGAACCCGGGCGGGTCGCGGGCGGCGGCGGCGGCCGGCAGCGCGGCCCCGCGCCGCAGGTTCGCCGCCTGCCGCCGGTTTTGTTCAGCACTCAGCACTCAGCAAGCACTGGGTACCACCACACGCGGGCGTCGTAGTCCGCGAACACCGGCGGGTCGCGGGCGGCGGCGGCGGCCGGCAGCGCGGCCCCGCGCCGCAGGTCGGCCCGCAGCGCCGCCTTCAGTGCTCATTTTCAGTGCTCAGCACTCAGCACTCAGCACTGGGTACTCACCACACGCGGGCGTCGTAGTCCGCGAACACGGGCGGGTCGCGGGCGGCGGCGGCCGGCAGCGCGGCCCCGCGCCGCAGGTCGGCCCGCAGCGCCGCCTGCCGCCGGTGCACTCAAATGCTCAGCATCTTCAATGTTCATTTTGTACTCACCACACGCGGGCGTCGTAGTCCGCGAACACGGGCAAATGCGCGGCCCCGCGCCGCAGGTCGGCCCGCAGCGCCGCCAATGTTCAGTGCTCATTTTGTTCACCACACGACGTCCGCGAAGGACCAAATGCTTATCTTCAGCACTCAGCACTGTACTCATTTTCGTAGTCCGCGAACACGGGCGGGTCGCGGGCGGCGGCGGCGGCTCGCCGCAGGTCGGCCCGCAGCGCCGCCTGCCGCCGGTGCAGTGCTCAGTGCTCAGTGCTCAGCACTCAGCACTCAGCACTCAGCACTGGGTACTCACCACACGCGGGCGTCGTAGTCCGCGAACACCGGCGGGTCGCGGGCGGCGGCGGCGGCCGGCAGCGCGGCCCCGGACCAAAGGCCGCAGGTGCTTATCTTCAATACAGTTCGGTGCTCGGTGCTGCAGCACTCAGCACTCAGCACTCAGCACTGGGTACTCACCACACGCGGGCGTCGTAGTCCGCGAACACCGGCGGGTCGCGGGCGGCGGCGGCGGCCGGCAGCGCGGCCCCGCGCCGCAGGTCGGCCCGCAGCGCCGCCGCCTGCCGCGACCGCAGCGTCGCCAGCGACGGAGCCGCGCCTGCACAGACGGACACAGACTCGCTTATATATATCTCTACACCATGACTATTGTTGAAGTTCGGTATAATTACGGCATGAAGTGCTTGCGACTTTAACGTTCATTTTTATGCACGATCTAAAATTAAAATGCTTATGTCATCGATGTTTATTTTGATACTGGCTCGAAGGACCAAATGCTTATCTTCAATGTTTATTTTGTTACTGACTCGAAGGACCAAATGCTTATCTTCAATGTTTATTTTGTTACTGACTCGAAGGACCAAATGCTTATCTTCAATGTTTATTTTGTTACTGACTCGAAGGACCAAATGCTTATCTTCAATGTTTATTTTGTTACTGACTCGAAGGACCAAATGCTTATCTTCAATGTTCATTTTGTTACTGACTCGAAGGACCAAATGCTTATCTTCAATGTTTATTTTGTTACTGACTCGAAGGACCAAATGCTTGTCTTCGATGTTTATTTTGATACTGGATCGAAGGACCAAATGCTTACCTTCAATGTTTATTTTGTTACTGGCTCGAAGGACCAAATGCTTGTCTTCGATGTTTATTTTGATACTGGATCGAAGGACCAAATGCTTACCTTCAATGTTTATTTTGTTACTGGCTCGAAGGACCAAATGCTTGTCTTCGATGTTTATTTTGATACTGGATCGAAGGACCAAATGCTTATCTTCAATATTTATTTTGTTACTGACTCGAAGGACCAAATGCTTATCTTCAATATTTATTTTGTTTCTGACTCGAAGGACCAAATGCTTATCTTCAATGTTTATTTTGTTACTGGCTCGAAGGACCAAAATGCTTACCTTCGATGTTTATTTTGATACTGGCTCGAAGGACTAATAGTTCTTCGATGTTCGTTTAGATAGAACTTATTAATTAAAAACAATTGTATGCACAACCATACACTACTAAAACTCCCCCATCCAATTTAAACGGGGATTGAAATTACAACGGCCTGAGCAGAGATTCGAACCCCTACCGTTGCCCTCAGACTAAAGTCGTATCCGTCAGGTAGGAGTCCTTACCTCCTCCATAAGTCTTTCTGCGGATTTGGAGAACCATCTGCACTCGTGCGCATTGTCTGATGAAGTAGTAAAAGCTAGCGGTAAAGCATCAAAATTCTTCGAAAAACAAAATCTATTAAAACTAAACGAATTTTGTGTTTAAACTAAACGAATTTTGTGTTTATATTAACTAGTGTTATATACATAGTATGCCTGTCTATCTGCTGGCTTAAATATATACATACCATTATTTAAAGAGCTGCTTCTTCTCCTCGCAGTGTCGACCCTCGCCTCTGGCCGAGACCGACGAACCACCGGCCCCGGTGCCGTCACACCATGTTGGCTGAAGAACAAAATAAAAAAACCCTAAAAAAAATGGTGGGTGAGTTCCCACTAACTAAGTCTCACTTAGTTTGGCCGGTAAGCAGCTTGCTTTGTAAATAAAAGTAGTATTGCGTAATGTATACAGGTTTAAAAAGTTCCTGCCTATAAGTAGGTGTCCTAGAGACGAGACCAGAAGACAGGGTCGTCAAAGAATACGTTGGAAAGATATGAACCTGACTCTGGGGCCATTTTGGAAGAGGGTTGCGGAAGACAGGGTTCAATGGAAATAGCTGGAGGAGGTCAAAAGGTATACCGGGTTGCGGGACATATTGTAAATCACAAAAAGTACCGCAACTTTGGGAAAAAAGGTTATATTATTACCTATAAGTACAAAAATTCTCCCTATCCAATCCTTAGTGCTTCCATCCCTCAATTATGATGATGTGTTTGACATAAATGTAGATCTTATAAACAAATTAGATTGTCCTGTGAACAACTCTATTCCCTTCAATTTTATATATATGATACAGTTCATAGGTGCACAACGCAATTTTTAAAGCAGAAACAAGTGGAACAAAGGTGTCATTGGTGACGACTCAATATGAAGTCTATCCGGGGTAATAATAATAATCTCAGAACAATTCACACAGCGCCATCTAGACCCAAGTTAAGCTTGCTAAAGCTTCTGTTATGGGTACTAGATAACTGATACAAATACATAGATAAGTTTTTTTTCGTACGTACATACATAGAAAATACCCAGACAGATACAAACAATCATACTCATGAATACGAATGATTAAACCGTGCGAGGAATCGAACCCGCGACCATCAGAAATAAGGCGGTGTGTTAAACCACTAGACCACTGAGGCCGATAAATCACTCTTATTTTCTGTTGAGGTATAAAAAAGGAGTTTTCTAACCTTTCATTGCGTTCCACTTCGTGCCTGGTTGGGCTCTCGTGCCGTTTACCATTGCCTATACCCCTCAGCCGTGTCAATAAAGACAGTTCCGTTAATCCACGCTTCCATATCGGTTTGGGTTGATTCACTTCAGATTTATCTAAAACAGATAAAAGGATTATGATCTACATTAGAACTGGAGCCGGAGACTTTTTTCCTCAATTATTTCCGCCCCGCCAAGACAGACTTCCCATTTTTTTCACATGCACGTGACATCCCTGGTTTTTCAGGCGTCCATAGGCTACGGTAACCATTTACCATCAGATGTCCCATATGTTTGTTTGCCTGTATATGTCCCTGATGTTTGCCACCAATGTGGTATAACGAAAAATGTAATTTCTAAGGACGGTTCTAAAATTAAATGTAACACTAGTATTTAAATGTAACATAATAGTCGCTAGTCGTTGTTGTCACACAAAATCAACATCAACGCGAGAGAAACCGCGAGTGAAAGCTAGTTATTCAATATATTTACCATTTTTGTTATCCCTTTTAGGGCTACTATTCTGCGCTCTTCTAATTAGATGCTGTCTCATTCTGTCCGATGTATCATAGGCACTTTGACTATACGATCTTTCAACATTCGACCTTAGTATCCTCACTGTAGACTCATTTTCCGTTGGCGCAGTATTAGATACACTAACATGAACATTCCTCGGTCTATTTTCTACTTCTAATTCTCTTCCACTACGATTAAACTCACGCGTACTTCCTTCAGTAGCGTTGGAATTATCTCTATTAATTCCATTGATGTTGGAATTACAATTATTAATTCCATTACTATTGGAATTACTCCCACTGTCAGGATTTAATTGATCATTTACATTTCCAGTAGTATCAATTGGATTACTAGTAATTTCTTCTACCCTTAACTGTATGTTCGTTCTGTTGTTATTGCTAGGAAACAGATATTCATATGTACTTTCCGCATCCAAATTGGGTAACGATGATTTTCTAACTTTATCAATATTTATAACTTTGTTAACTGGATTTTCAGTTGATGTAGATGCCATACACAACCTCTCGTAAACTCCCTCCGTCGCACTGACAGCGTCTGTCAGTTTGACAGCATCTGTCAGATTGACAGTCGTTGTCAAACTCAAGTGGCCATACTCATTGTCTTTGTACACAGTGCCGTAACTGTTTTCTGGTGTGGTAACATTGACTTCAGTGTTAACAATGTTGATGAAGGGCTGATCAGGTTGTATTGTCAGCTTTTGGTCAAAATTGAAGTTGAATATGTTAGTTTCTGGACCAAGGACCGGTATAGCTGTGTGGGGCGGTTTGTTTGATACTTGGATGACCGTAATGTTAGTTGCTTGGTGATCACTGTAAAAATATATACAGAGTAATAATATATCAGGACAATTCACACAGCGTCATCTAGTCCCAAGCTTGTGTTATGGGTACTATTTAATTGATACCTTTCTTTTGAAAACACATAATATATATTGAAACAACCAGACAATCATACTCCTGAATACATATATTTATACCATATGTTGGAGGAGAAATACTGTTACATATAACAAAAACAGTAGTTTAACGATTTATATAAGTGGCATATTGGAGCAAATAAAATGTTGAATTTAACACCAAAAAAATAAAATTAAACAAATCCCTAAATGTGAAACTATCGCTTAAGTTGGATTAAGCTGTCAATGACGGCCTCATTGGTCTAGTGATTTAACACACCGCTTTACTTACGACGCGGGTTCGATTCCTCGCATGGTGCAAACATTTGTATTAGTAAGTATGATTCTTTGAATCGTTCTGGATGTCTTTTATGTAAATTATGTATGTATTTACAAAAAAAATATCGTAAGTATTTATAACAGTTGTCTAGAACTCATAACACAAGCTCTGCTTACCATAAGACTAAATGGCGCTGTGTCAATTATCCAGGATAAAAATGAGGTTAATAAATATTCGTAAAAAACATGCTATCTAATACATTCAATCTGTACCTCGTTACATTTTCAGCCCCACTCGACTGAGCAGGTACATCATCCCCCACAACGAGCGTCTGTTTGAAACCTTCAAACTGATCTCCGAAACTTTCAGAATTATCATCACCATATTCATCATCGGCGGATGCGTGTATCCTATCCACTTCTGCGAAGAATTCTTCATCACTATCAGTGACGGTGATTCTCTTCAATATAGAATCGTCCAAGCAAATGTTCTGACCACAGATTTTGGTTACACTCCTCGGCTGTTGCGTCTCCTGGCTGGTACTTGGTTGTGGGTTCTCATCCCAGTTCGATATATCCACAGGGTCCGGTTGAGGGGGTGGGGGAGTTGGGGGCGGCTCTTCAGGGGGCGGACGTATGGACGGAACCAATTCAATACCTGGTACCCTGAAAGCATAGAATAATTCTAACTTTAAATATAATCTTCATCTCATTATAACATTAAATATACATAGCATATGCTCATAGCCCTGCTAGGACTATTTGTAAGTTGAATATTAAATAAAAGTAAAAAAATCTGTCCAAAAATTGAGACAGTCCTACATAGCAATTTATATATTACTAGCTGTGCCCGCGACTTCGTATGCGTTGAATAAATAACGAACAAAAATCCTTGAATAGCTTAAAATATTTAATAATTTCACACAAAAAAAAATGTAAAGAAAAAAGTTTCATCGTTCTACCTTTAAAATTGGCGAATTTCTATACAAAATTTCATCTCTAATTTGGTATACAGACAGAGTTACTTTCGTATTTATAATGTCAGTATGGAAGTATGGACTACTATATTATAGACTACACCCTATTTCTTTTATGGATGTTAATGGTATGTTGCAACCGCTGCGCTTAACCCGCAGCAACCCGCGCTGCGGTTTACCCATACTGCCTCAATAACGATTTGATTACTTATAGAGCTCATAACTCATCCAGTAAAATGAGAAGAAAAGACCAGTTTGAGGGGTAACGACCACACAGTACCTCGTTACCCCTCTAACCTGTCTTTTCTTCTCACTTTCTCTCACATCACTATTCTAACCAATGATGGTCTTTTGAAGATTTTTCCACATGGGGCCGTTCAAATATTACGTAAGCACTATAGGGCGGCAGGGGTAGGGGGAGGGGGTCTTTACTTTGCTTATTTAGTATGACATGGGGGAGTCTAGATGATGATGATTACGTCATCGGTAATTATTTACTTTTTTACACGAATGGCAACCCTCACATTGTCTTTGCTAAAAAAAAACAATACATTCGTTGAAAAATGTTCACGTAAGCATGGGGGGAAGGGGTTAGAGCTTTGCTGATAAGGGGGAAAGAGGGGGGGGGGGTAATAATTAGTAAAATAATTGTAATAATTTGCTTACGTAATACTTGAACGGCCCCATAATAAAAAAAAATATCACAGAGACACACAAGACTCACCTGTCGGGGGGCACGGGGGGCGTGGGGGGCAGCGGGCTGGTGGGGTCCCGTGCGGCAGCCCGGGGCACGGGAGCAGCCGGAGCAGCGCAGTACACGTTCTCACCCTTCGACAGTATCTTCAGCTCGTGCAATTTGTTGCGGAGCGTCGTCACCCAGTCTTGCATGGCATCCCTAGTAATTATAAAACAAACCTTAAGGTTGGGCTCGAAACGAGCTGTATCCAGAGCCGTAAAACATTCTAGCGAAAACTGCGTATTGGATTTTAATGAAATTTTATAGTAATATAACTTATGCATCAGGATTACACATAGGTTAATTTTTTTATTGAAATATATTCAAATTTAACGCGGATGAAACTGCGTGGACAGCTAGTATTATATATGAATAGGATAAGACGGATGTTTGTTACTCTTTCACGCAAAAACTACTGAATGGATTTTGATAAAACTTTACAATAATATAGATTATAGATAAGAATATCTTTCTAAATTATAGCCTATGTGTAAGGTTATAATTTAAAAAGATATTATGTAAATTAAATGATAAAAGTCAAGTAAGTGTGATGCAGACGAAATTACGCGTAAGTAGTAAGGTAAGTATTTTATGGTGAGAGGACTATACTATAGGATCCCTGGTCGTACCGGCGAAGTAAAAATGCTCGGTTGTTTGCACTTAGTAGGAAGGCACCTATCGGGTCGCTGTTTCGCCAGTGAATGCGGACCGCTGCTTTTTTTTTTCGGACTACTCTGATGCTGTTGGCCGCAGCTGGCCTTTACAGCTTCACCGGACGTTAGGGGGCGAGTGCAGATGACACTCCAAACCAAGGAAGGACTTATGGAACGGCTGAAGGCCAACTCCTGCCTGACGGATGCAACTTTAGTCTGAGGGCACCACTAGGGGCTCGAACCTCGGCTCAGGCCGTCGTAATTTCGATCCCCGTTTGAATTGGACGGGGGATCGATCGGAGGGGACGGACCGCTGTCCGGCCGCACTCTTTATATAGACGCCCGACGGGTGGCCCTCCCTACTGCAACTGTACGTTGCGTGTCTTTATTTTCTATCAGTTTTACATATTATTATTATTAACAAAATTGATCTTATTCACACATATATACAAATTCTACTTATACTAATTACTTACATTTAGGGCAATAAAAAACACTATATTATATATTTTATTAAGGATGACTTATTATACTAATTACAGCTAAAACTTATTTTCTAATTGATTCCGTCGTGTACAGTATTTATATATAACAAACCAAGCACTTGATTTGTTTTTAATTTAATTAAGAAACTGGATATACATTTATGGACTTGAAGGGATATTATATTACGCAATTCTATTGCAACATTGTGTGTATGTGTGTCACGCGATATTTATTTTTATGACTAATAATTTATACTAATAGATATTACAAAGATTAAGAGTTTTTTTGTTTGAACGCTCTAATCTCAGGAACTACAGGTTCGAATTGAATTGAATCTTTTTTGTGTTGGATAGTCCATTTGTCGAGGAAGGCTTTAAGCTATATAACATTACGCTACAATCAAAGAGGACCTGCAATGACAAAAATTTGGAAAAGGTGGGGAAATGAAATGCAAACAAAGTACGGGCCAGCTAATAATTGATCAGTTGCATGTGACTAACTCACGTGCAACTGATCAATTATTAAATAATATTTCCAATAAATCTTACCAATCTGGGGCTATCATCCTGACAGGTCCATGCTCAGTGTCTATCAGGAAGTCATACTCGACGCCTGCCCTCGGCTTCACGCTGGCCGTCACATGTCTGGCCGTACGGAGGCAGGCCCTCCACACAGGCTTGTGTGCGAGGGTCGCTGGAGATTCAGGCTCGGGATACTGCTCTAGGAATGGTGTGCGACCATTGTGTACGCAGAATAATGTCCACATCGCTTTAAGGGGAACTTTCTGAGGAAGAATTATAAATCTATTTTTAATTATGACTAGCTGTAACCGCAATTTCGTCCTTGTGGAATTAAATTTATAGACTTACATGAATTAAGATATTTTGAGTGATTGATTACCTTGACAATTAACACAAATAAAAATAAAGACCGATTGTCATAGAAGAAAAGAAGAAGAAGAAAAGAAGAAGAAGAAGAGAAAAAGAAATATAATTCTTTCCACTCCTGCGCCATCCACACCACCTTCTGTCTGAACAGTATTCTACAATAATTATCATTTACCTTATGACCCAAAGGTCTCAGCTTACTCCCGCTAGTTTCATTAGGGACCCTCTTGAGGTATGCATTCTTCTGTATTTCCCTGTAGTACACTGGGCCTTCCTCTTGTCCATATGACATTGTGCCGTTCGAGGCATTCAGAAGTACTGTAAATATAACATTGTTCATTTTTAGATAGTTCTTTTTTTAAAATGGGCTGAACAATCTGGTAGTTGTTACGACCATTAACATTGTGGATATTGAATAAAGCAAGATCTTCAGAATAAGAAGCAAGACATCTTAGTCCTCTGAAATGGAAACTCTTGAGTAATATTATATGTATTACATAATAATGTCATATAGATGCATATAAGTTAATTCTCTTTCATAATGTTTGAATATCAATAACATATAAATATTTCTTTTTATATATTAAAATTTGAGCATGTTTGACCGCAATATCACCTGATGTTAAGTGATGATGTGGTCTAAGCTGTTACACGCAAGCTCAAGTAATGCCTATACACTCTTGACTTGAAAGACACAATGTTGTAAGAGGCAGGAAAAATAGACACTGGTAGAGAGTTGCACTCCTTTGCTGCTTGCATAAGGAACGATGATGCAAAACAGTTAGTTCAAGCAGCTGGGATGTCAATAGTGTATGGGTGGAGCCACTCTCTACATCTTGTTGTATGTTGATGGAATGGTGCTGGAGGAATGAGGTTGTGTAGTTCTTGAGCACATTCGCCAAAATGAAGCCTTCCTTTCTTGTTTAATTATACACAGTGAATTTTATAGATTTAAACAAAATTATAAACAAAATAAAAATAATAATAACATAATTTTCTTTGTAAATGATTTAATGTAAATTACATATATGATGTTATTGAAAATGGCCCTTGACAAGTCCCTTACATTAAGCATACAAATCTTTAAGTTGATTAATCTTTAGGTATTAAATTATTGATTATTTATATAACTATTATTTATTCTAACTATATATCAATTTGTATGTAAATCTCAGTGGCATATTGATAATATGTATTTATTAATGTTAGACATAGACACCTATATGAATATATATTGTAAATAAACTGGCATAAGCCAGTTTTAATAATAATAAAATAAGAAATTCAATTGAGTTTCTTGCCAATTCATCACAATTGAATCTGTATAATGATTTGGATTATAAGGAAAAAATATAAAACATATAAAAACAAGTCCCATATGAATATTATTTAAATGAAGATTACTTTTTATCAATATAATTGCCTTGAGTATATAATTTTTGTGTAATTACTTGGTAGGTACAGATGACTAACTTACTAAGAATTAACGGATCAATCACTAATTGTCGCATGAGTGAATTCTAAACAGTAAAGCACAATTAATACTCTGACTCAGAGCAAAAGTATGTCCCCTACATCCATAATTGGGGTTGGCAGTCACAGAAAACGTGTTAGACCCATCAAGCGTAGGGAAAGCCGGAATTTCTATTGAAATCTTCATTATAACAGTGTTACGGACAAGCAAAAAGGTCAATGGTTATGTGAAGGAAGTATTTAAGTACTATTGTCATAGTAAATTATAGTAAAAAAAATGAATAGAAAAGAAAAAAAACAAACCTATACAAAATGTTTCTAAGGTTTTAATATCTTGCGGACTTCAGTGGTTGTTTTTCATTGTATAATTCAAAAACAATTGACGATTCTGTATTATTATATTGAAATAAATAAAGCAGCTTTGTATAATATCACAACCACATACATTTTTAATGTGAATCTGACAGACGCAATTGCAGATTGAGCGAACAAAGGGGATTCAATCTGTCAATCAGATTTGACACCATATTTTTTATGATACAGAATGTTACTGAAGACAATGGCTGTATGGGCTGAGTCCTTTTGCCTTTCCCTAAAAAGGGAAAAACAGAACCAAAAAAAAAAAAAATGATACAGAATGACATCCAGTGCTAAACATCGTCATTTATTTAATCATTCTCCATACATGGATTATATACCTACCGAATTAAGTTGCACATTTTAACTATGACAATTGTTATAGTCTACAAATTTAAAATAATAAATCATTAACATTAAATTATTTACTTTATTAACAGTAATAACATTAAATAAATATTCATAACATAACTAAACATATGCTTTTATAAAGCCTGCAGGTAATCCATGATATTTATACATTTTTTATTGAACTCAATACCGCCCTAGTTTGACTCAAACTGCAATTATAGGTGCATATTCAAGGTAATTTATGTATTGTGTCGTGTAACTAAAGCCCTATAAATTAAGAACAAAAAGTCTATTACTCTTTACATTGACTTTGACAATTTTTTTCTATTGTCAATGGTTAATAAAGTGACATTTTATTGCAGTGATTAATCAAGAAAAACAAATTGAAAACACAAGAAACACTAAGGTATTTAAATATTCTTGATAACATATTTCATCACGTTTTCTGAATAATGATCAGCGACTAAATTTTCTCTATTTTTTCATCGTTTTAATATTGTTTGTTTTCCTTTCTTAAAAGTGTCAAACTATTTAGTTTTTTTTAATTCTAGTTCCGTAATTTTCCGTTCAGCGCTATAGTCTGCACTTATTTTGATCACGTGACCAATTGAACCGCCAAAATAATTGTCACCTACCCATTTACAGTCGGTTACACCGCAAATTTCTATTCTTAAAAAAACGTTTGTTTCCATATTTCCGTTAAATTATTAATTTTAGATCGTTACAAAAGCATATTTGCTGTCTTCTGAAGTGTAGAGATTACTAAATAATGGCAAAAGTTCATATCACTAATGTCGTTGTACTGGACAATCCTAGCCCTTTTCTGAACCCGTTCCAATTTGAACTAACCTTTGAGTGCATAGAAGAGTTAAAAGAAGATCTCGAATGGCGGATGATATACGTGGGATCGGCGGAAACTGAGGAACATGACCAGGTTTTAGATACTATTTACGTTGGTCCCATACCAGAGGGCCGGCACATGTTTGTTTTCCAAGCGCCGCCACCGGACGTGACCCGTATACCTGAAAATGACGCTTTAGGTGTCACCGTCGTTCTCCTAACGTGTTCTTACCGAGGTCAAGAGTTTGTTAGAGTTGGTTACTTTATTAACAATGAATATAGTGAAAACGAACCTGAATTACGTGAAAATCCGCCACCGAAGCCCCAGTTCGACAAAGTAGTGAGGAATATATTAGCGTCGGAGCCGAGAGTGACGAGGTTCAAGATAAATTGGGCCGAACCAGACGCGGCGGCGGCTACGGACTCGGGAGATGGGAACTTGGAGACTTCTCATGCCCCAAGTAACGACTCATATGGAGCTTCCTTCAATGCGGACAGTCAAATTAGTGGTATTGAATTCCAAGGCAGTTTAAGTGGTTACGGAGATAATTCTAATTCAATAGCACCGATGGAATGCTGAAGTAAGTTTTTTTAAGTAACTATTTTTTTATGTTAACACATTATGAATGGGGCAGGTATTTGTACCCATATTAATAAATATATATGTTATATGTATATATATTTTCCCTTGTGTCACTTAAATTGACTTATTTGAAACAAGTACTAACTACCTTCCCCACTTTTAAATGGCAATGTGTGGAACAAGTTCTAGTACCTGCCCCGCTTATAAGTGGCAATTCTCGGAACGGGTACAAACACGGTATACATTGGTGGTACCAGTGGAGTATGATAGAAACAGGGTTAATGTCTTGACTTCTAGTCAAGACACTTACCCTATTGTGGAGTTTTCACATTGGTATTACACGACTGTCTTTTGTTTTCTCATTATTCATTCATAATTTATGAGTCCTTGGAGCTCTTACCACTGTCCAGGATCTTCCATCATACTCTTTAAACATTGATATGTCACGAGTCCAATTTGTTTTGTCATGTAATGAAATTCAGCATGCCTATTACAAAATGAGTTACTCTTTTGTTTCATATACAATCATAACCATAATTTTAAGTCATTGAGCCACTATTGATCCAATATTTGTGGACTGACTTTTTCTGAACCTCATACTTATTCTAGACTATTCTTGAAAATTAATATTTGCTCTTTGGGCATAAGTGCAAATAGACAATAAATCAGGAATTTATTACCTATTTGCACTTATGTACACACACTGTGTTATCAGATAACACTGTGGAATACGCTGGTATTATTATATACTAGCTATCCTGCGCAACTTTGCCTACATCACACTTGACATTCTATTTCACCCAATGTATACAATATCTTTTTAAATTATAGCCTATCTATTATTCTGATGTATAAGCTATATTACTGTAAAGTTTCATCAAAATCCGTTCAGTAGTTTTTGTGTGAAAACATCCATCCATACTCACAAACTTTCATATATATAATATGAATAACACTTGCACTTATGTACATCCACAGTTTTATCAGATAACACTGTGGTATACATTTCTATTATTATATATTGAACTAGCTGTCCTGGCAAACATTGTTTTGCCATATAAATTAATAACGCTATAAAAAAGGGGGTTGATGATAGAAGGTTGAAAATTTAGGATTGTATGTATTTTTGTATGTTGTATCATAGAAAAATAGAAACTAAAAATTTTGTCTAAAAAATAAAAAAAAAATTTAGGGGTGGACTACACCTAACATTTAGGGGGATGAAAAATAGATGTTGGCCAATTCTCAGACCTACTCAATACGCTCACAAAATTTCATGAGAATCGGTCAAGCCGTTTCAGAGGAGTTTGGGAACGAAAACTGTGACTCGAGAATTTTATATATAAGATATACATAAAAGTCTATTATTTCTTTCAATTCATATCTATTCAATTAATATCTTTATTCATGTAGGTCTATTACAAACTCTTATGATATGTCATTACGATTTTGAGATGAGAAGAACTGACAAGTGTCTGGAAAAACGTATATTTAAATTTAGTTACGCCAAGGCATGAAAAAATTCATTAATTTAGCAATATAAATTGTTTTTTTTTTATTTTAAGGCAAAACAACGTTTGCCGGGACAGCTAGTTGTAATATAAGTGTTTGCCCAGAAATCTGAGAATATTGTGTTATATGTTATATGTTATAATTTCTTAAATATATTTTCTTGTAATAAATGAAACAAATATTTAATGTTATATTGTCTTACATTTATATATTATATTGATAGTTCCTGTATTATTACTAACTGTGACTACACATGCTTTTACTTCATGTCAGTAAGCTAAGTATATATATAATCTTCACATAAAATTTCATTAGGATCATTCAGCCATTTTGTTTTAATAAAAAGTAAACAGAAATACTTTTGCATTTACTATTATTGGGTTATTTTCTAATAAAACATTATTTTTGTTTCAGACTACCAAATAATGTAGTAAATGTGTATGACAATGCTGTATAGAGAAGAATCTTGAAGAGGTGAAAGCCAAGAAGCCTAAATATATGATGCCGAATATTTGACAAAGCAGACCAGAGAGAATTATGTGTTTCACATCTCTATGGATGGACAGTAGTTTTATTTTCAACTGTCAAGGTTTTTAATTGAAATAAAATTAACATAGTAAATTTAGTTATTAAAGTTACTTAACATGTTAAAGATCACATGCTCACCAGTGGAGTCACTCTGCAATGAAAGTAAATTTACATGTTGGAACCGAGTGATCATACATATGTGGGCACTTTAAGGGGGTCTTCCTATGTGACGGCCTGTTTTTTAGGGATATTTTAGGATTTTTTTTCTACGACCAGTAAATATTTAGAGCTTCAAGTTTTTTTATCATTTATTAACATTTGGACACAGTATAAATATAAAATTTCAGCTAAAAATTTTCAGTAAAACTAGAGTTACAGCGCTCTTAACACCCCCGCCTCTAAAAAAAGAGCTCCCACTTCCTCCACGATTCCGGCTGATCGGCTTATCTTAAAAAAAAAAAAAAACGGCGTTTTAATTTGTAGGCTTAAAAGCACGGAATGACCTATAATCAAATGAATATTAAAAAAATTGGATTTTTGATAGACATTTGAAATAAAAGTTGCAAATTAGGCGTTTTTTTTTTTTGTTTTTTGCTATAAAAAAATCGAAGTTTTGAAAATTTTCGATTGATAATAGTTCATTCCATGCGTTTACATATATTGAGTGTGCCCTGTAAATTTAATTTCCAATCCAGCCGTTTCTGAGATACAATGGAGGAAAGTTTGAAAAACACAGTTTTGAGAAAAACGCGTTTAAAGTTTCAAGTCCGTTAAAAACTATTAAAATATCAACTTACTCTCAATCGGCAATGCCTGGTCCATAGAGTATTCCTTCCTCTTCCTCGTGAAACTCTTTTAAAGCAGATTGTTCAGCTCTTGAGTCAATCCTGGCTTGTTTAACGACATCACTTACGCGCCGCTCAGAGCGTAAGATTATTTTCATCCCGTTTCTCAACATACGCTTGGGCTTCACGACCAACAGGGCATCCCATAATCGACATAACTTTTAAAATACCTTGAAAACCTTCATTAAAGATAATAACTGCTAAGTATATGCAATTTCAACAACTCACACTCACACGATAAAATAATTTTAAAGCCTAGGCCTCGGAAACTTGATCGCGAAATAGACACGTCACTTTTACAAGTTTTACATATAACTATTTCAGAGATTGCAGCAAATACAGAAACAAACTCCAAAATGCAATATGCGTAAATTCGAAGCGATGGGAACATTCATGTTCATGTTATTTTTAAGTTTTTTGGCCGAAGCTGATGTAAATACCGTATCATTTTGGTGGGTAAAACGGTTTCCACTAAACTTTCTTTTTTTACTACTACCAGGATGAACACTTCCACTCGTACTTCCTTTCCGTCCACTCATTATGAAAAAAAATAATTTGTAGCTGTTGCTCTCTTCGAAGTTCAACCAAGACTAAAATAACTTCGGTAAAATATTATAACAATAGAAATTTCTGTTTAAGTCTGTAGAAACGTGTCTAAACTTGTATAAACAAATATATTAATAAAAGGGAGGCCAGGTATAAAGCCGACGGTACACAATAGGCCCGGTCTCTAACTGCCAACTCACCGCTCCGAACCGCTCTTTAATATTTACCTGCTGTATCTTTAAAACGACTTCGAATTTTCTAAAATCGCTTTACTACCGTATTCTAGACATGTTAAGGGAGCAATTTATGAAAAAAAAAATAATCGATTTTTTCAACCCATCACATAGGAAGACCCCCTTAATTGAAATAAATCTAGGGGTTAAATAATGTCTACCTCAAATATTGTACACTAAAAACATTATAAAAAATAATGTATGTATTTAACAATAAAAAAATGCCAGTCCCAATGTGAGAAATAACATTTTTCAATGTGGTCTTCAACATGTTAAGCCTCATATTGGAACTATTGTGAGTGTAGAGCCTGGACTATTATAATAACTATCCAAGCTAATAAGCTTGCAATACCAATAAGTTACAGTAAAATAATGCAATGTAAATGTATAGATTTAGTCCCACATTTGGACTATTGTAAGTGTTGATCTAGGACTATTTAATTGCCAATCAAGTCCGATCATACAGGGAACTATTGGAAGGCCAAGTGGACTATTTTTGTACTTACATTTGATTTGAATGTACATGTGGGACTACTGTAATATCTATCCAACTAGGTTTTTAGAAGGAAGCAACAAATTAATATATTGTAATGTAAAATAGTTACCTTTGCATTTAGTCCCATGTTGCTATTGTGAGTAGAACTGGAACTATTATAATAATCCAGAAGCATATAGTACAGTGTTTCCCAACATGGGCCCCATGATCCACAGGGTTTTGATTGTTAAGGAGGGCAATTCAAAAGTGAACTCGATATTATATGCACAACATTATAAAACATGCTGGATTTGTGTCCCAAATTTAACGAAAAAAGCAGATTCTTAAATTATTATTTTATCACTAAATTAAAATAAAACAATTGCAATAGAAAAATCTTTATTAAAATTATTTGGGATTTGAATTACTGCTTTTCATTATCTATTTAAAAATTTACTTTCTGTGTTTCTTTAATAATTTTAATTATTTCTTGCTAAAATATTTAAGTTTCTTGACCGAATATTTTTTTTTTTAATATGGCTGGGAGAGCATGAGAATTTTAGAAAGGATATGATGGGGCATGACGTAAAAAGGTTGGGAAACAATGTTAAGCATACAAGTATTTATGACTTTTGACAAAATTGTGTTATTTTTTGTTTCTGTCATGCAGTCTTTTGAAAATCTCTAGTAATCATGGTCTCATTAACATTAAGAGAATTGTAAAAAGTATTAAGTTATTGTTAAACACCTATTTACTTAAGTTTAGAAGCAGTAATTAATATTTATTAGTTTGAACATACACAATTATGAATTAGTTCAATTATTAATTAATTGGTACTAACTGAACTAATTTATAATTATATGCATTATCTTCTTAATATATAAAAATTTCGTGTCACATTTTTTTCTCGACGGGTCCTTTGAACTGGTTTCGATAGGTCTGTAAATAGGTTATCTATTTTTTATAAAAATTTGGCGTGGGCCACCCTTATCACTTTAGTGATAAGGGTGGCACACCCCACCCCAAATTTTTTCTTCTTTTTTTTCTTCTCACGTAATTTTTTATTTTTATTTTTTATGATTCGGCATTAAAAATAAACGCAGATCGTAATTTTCACCCTTCTACCATCAATCCCCATTCATTATTAGCGATATTAACTTATATGACAAAACAACGTTTGCCGGGACAAGTTGTAACATATACCATATGACTTTGTCTACGGCGTAGAAAATAATTATAAAAATAGGTTATAATAATATTGTTTATGTTATATAAGAGAAACTGACAAAAAACATTTCATCCGTTTTGCATCAATTTCCATTAATACTCCGCTCCCATTGGTCGTAGACTGATATTATATAACCTATAGTGCTCCTATACATATAGGCTATACAAGACTTAGCCTATAGGGTTCCTCAATATATGGGCTATACAATACTGGAAGGGTTTTTTAACTCGAACCAATAGTTCCCGAGGTATGCGCGTTCAACTAAACAAACAAACTTCTCAGCTTTATTTCAATATACATAGTACATGACAGTGACTCTAATGACATGTTTTTTGTTACCTTCTTTAATAGACGCTAGGCTATTTTATTATTTACTAACGATCCGTCCCGACTTCGAACGGATGCATTGCAATTCTTTGTATATCGGCTTGTTCTATACTATAACATACATGTATTATAAATACAAACCTTTCTCTTGAATCAGTCTATCTATAGCAGAAAGCAGTATTAAAATCTGTTGCGTAATTTAAAAGATAAAAAAGACACAGCGACTGCGACTTTGTTTTGTAATATATAAAGAAATAACCTTGGTAACAACATCTTCTGTATACTTTATATTATGTAGACATTTGACACTTATCGTCTGTTATATACCGACATAATCCTAACGCAATTAGATTGAATGAATAGTAAATAGTTGACATTTTCATGTTTTTTTTTTTATAGATGATAATGTAATGATACGCCCTCCTGCAGTAGTGGTTTATGTTGGTCGGGCAGTGGAGTATGATAAAATGAACTAACTACAGGTGAGTTAGTCCATTGTAGCTCAGTCTATATATAAGTGTCACTTCAAAACTCCAAACTGAGATTACTAGATAATTTTCTAAGGATTTGATAAAATGCATTCAAAACCTATTTTGTTGCAAGAATAGTTTGATCTGGTTTGTTTAATGGCGTTGTGTAAAGATAAGGAATTGGTTTTGTGAATAACGACTGAATTATGACGATGTACTAATTGTATTATAGTGTTTATAAATATTTTGAAATACATAATGTAATAAATGCATTTGTAATTATTTTAAATTATTTCATTATGGAATCACCTTCCAGCAATGGTATTTCCAAAACGGTATGATATTTTTTCGCTTATTTCTGTTTGAAATTGCGGCAACGCACTTTCAATTCCCCTGATTCGTTATTGAAACTTAAGAAAAGGGCTCATTCCTTCTTAAATGACCGGTAACGCACTTGCGATTCCCCTGGTATTGCGGGTGCTCATGGGCGGCGGTAATCGCTTGCCTTCAGGAGAGCCGCCAGATCATTTATTATAATGAATATTTGTTAGAGGCCCTTGCACAGTACGGCATAACAGTTTCAGTAAATTTATCCACGTCACAGCTGGAGTATTTCTCTCAAATTGAGAGGTGACATCCTCAATATGAGAAGATTCCTTCTCATATTGCGGATTTTGTGAATTTGTGGAATTAGTGCTACATTTCATGATGTTTTTACATCGTATTTCTGCCCCTACCAACACCTTTTCTATTAAATAAAATATATTTATTCATGTAGGCCATTTTAGCCGCTTATGAACGTCAAGTTTTTTCTATTAATAATTTTTCCCTATCGTCCAGCTCAGTATACAGATTCAATTTAGAAGAGCTATCAAGAAACTTAACTAAATTTCTTTGATTTAAAAAGCATCTATCCTAAATGGCAAACGAGAGATCATTAATGTAAACTAGAAATAAATATGGACCAAGAATAGATCCTTGAGGTACACCTATTTTTATACAATGTCACACTGTCGATTGTTGCAATTCTAATTATATGAAAAAAAAAAGGTATTGTATTGCTTATAACATAGTTATATCAATATATCGACAGAGATAGCTTAGGTATATCCTATTTCAGTTATTTCCAGTTCACTTCCTTCTATAGTGTAGGAAACAAAGCTTTGTGCACTGACCTTTATGCCTCCGCATCAGCGCCTACCTGAAAGGCTAGCTACATATATGTTTATATCTAAAGACTGTATCGCTAATCGTGCCTATAGAGAATTGTGTACTCGGCGGTCGGTTTCACACGTATTGTATTATATACTTTGTGAAATAGGGGAATATACGTAATAATAATTATTTTATTTATTTAGATTATTAAGTTTCATATCTATTAGGAGCAAGGACCTTAATAAATTACGGGGTTAAGGAGCAGTCGATTTATAAATAATGGAAAAAAAGGTAATGATGATGGAGTACCGAGGAAGTCATTCTCATCCTATATGATGTGTATAGTGTGTAAGGTTATTTAATTATGCTTATAAAATGTATGATTATCTATAATTGTATATTAAATATAGTGTGCCTCCTATGTTCGTCCGTCATACTCGTGAACGGGTGCTGCTTGTAGGGACTGGTCTGCTCTAATCACTGACTGATTTCCTCTTATTAATTGTTTAACCAGTTGTTGTATATTCAATATTTTTTATATTTGATTATTTAATTGAATTAGTGCAAATCGGTAGTTTGTATTCACACACTTAAACTTAAATTGTAAGTAAGAATAAAATTATTTCAAAGAGCAACACACATGTTTCTTGCTCGTTCTTCTTGTGATGAGACAGCTTTCCGAATGAGCGGTTGATTAAAAAAATGTATTTGAATAAATGATTTTCTATTTCTATGCTATTCTATTCTCTCTATGTAAACACTTGTCAATACTAAGATGTACTGTACTTATTGTTCTTTGTTTATCTAAACACAATGAAGAGGTATTATTATTATTTTTTGATGTACGAGTATGTAGTGCATTTTATGCTACGTTAACTCTCCATGAGGTTGGCCGTCAGCTTGTCTGCCAGTTACATAAAAAAATATAAATATAATGGCGGTGTTATCTCAATAAAGTGATTTATAGCAGTTTTCGATGACTGACAGGTAGGTTAAAAAAAAACAAATGTCAATGGAGAATAAGGAATTAATATATTGTCATTTTGTCTCAATGTAGACTAAAATGGCTCTACTAATGGGTACTTCAGTGTTACTTGGGAGTGGAAACATCTACAAAAAATATAATGAAAACTGAGAGCCAACACGTTTATTTTTTTTTAATGGATGATAATGGTATGATGCACCCGCATGCGCTAAGGGTTTATGTTGGTGGACCACCAGTGGAGGATGATAAGATGAATATGAGGTCAGGTCAGTTAGCCCATCGTGACAAATTCACCAGGAATTTATCATGATGGTTTCCAGGTGAAACCGCTGGAGGTCAACCTGACATGGTATATTACTCGCAATCTCCATCAGCACGTTATATATAATCTGGGTTAACGATGGTTTTTAAAAAAGTAATAATTTTATACTACGATGTTGGCAAACAAGCATACGGCCCATCTGATGGTAAACGGTTACCGTAACATATTAAATAAGTAGTAGGTGTAGTAGGTATTAAATAAGTAGTATTTACATTTTATAGTAGATTAACGATAACTAACTCTATTCTTAACCTAGGACTATTTCCTATAAATCTAAAATTCCTAAAGAGCTGTGGCAGCACGTATAAATATAGAACCTAATTTTAGCAATTTATTTTCGATATTACTCTACCATCTTTATAGGTATAAATAGATATATTTATAATTACCCATGACAGGAAAAACCGAAACAAAAAAAGTTACTTACAAAAATCTTAAATAAAAAAATACGAACTTCTCAATATCATAAACCGTTATGCATTTTTATGACATACAATATTGGACTCTATTTCCTTGCTATTTAAACACACCAATTTATAATAGGTTTTTGTCAACACATATACCGTTACAATGGTTCGAGGACTCTGACCCAATATAAAGTTTAGCAGAATCAATTGGACTCCATTGTGAACTGATGTATACGTTCCGTAGAGTTGGTACTTACGTAACATTTGTGTAAGCTGTATGCAGTGAGTTCTTTGTGTATTTTTATTTTTTAATTAAATGGCGCGCTAAATACAAAATGGATGTGATAATGTGGTTTCGTGTGCTTTGTTATTCAATATTTATGTAAGTTTCTACGTAACTTTATAAGTTTGCTTGTGTTATATGGGATATAATAGAGATTAATTACCAAGATATACTTATTTCAGCCACGAAGTAGTATTTTTAATTTCAATAGGATAAGAGGCATGATATCTTTGTCCTCCAGAATGGAGACGTATGTGTGATATCGCGGACTATTCTAATGCTGTTGTCCGCAGCTGGCCTTTACAGCTTCACCGGACGATAGGGGGCGAGTGCAGATGACACTCCAAAACAAACGAACTACTTATGCAGCGGCTGAAGGCCAACTCCCGCCTGACGGATACGACTTTAGTCTGAGGGCACCACTAGGGGTTCGAACCTCGACTCAGCCCGTCGTAATTTCGATCCCCGTTTGAATTTGACGTGACGTAATTGTTGATGTTATTTTTTATGTATATAACTCACGGTTGCCACTTACCATCAAGTGGGCCGATAGCTTGTTTACCATAATTTTATATATAATACATATATATATAATACTCCTCCGAAACGGCTTGACCGAGTGTTAAGAAATTTTATATGCATATTCAATAGGTCTTAGAATCGGCTACTATCTATTTTTCATACCCCTAAATTATAAGGGTTGTCCAACCCTAACATTTATTTTTTTATAATGTGGCTTTAAAAAATACATACAACCCTTAATTTTCAGCCTTCTACCATCAACGCCTATTTTTTAATAGCGATTTTAATTTATATGGTAAAACAACGTTTACAGGGTCTGCTAGTTATATATATATATATATATATATATAAGTCCTACTCATTCTTCATACATGTGTTGCCATTCTGGAATAATATAGTGTCACGCTACTATATACCTACTTTTATTTTAATGCTATAAACTCTTCAATCAAGACGCAACTTGCGAATTAAGCTCGTATAGTTTATAAAAGTCAATAGGTCTTTTATGGGAATAGGTATAAAAGTTTAAAATAACATACCAAAGGATATTCTGGAATTACCCTTAAATCAATTCAAAACAGTTAAATCATTGTTACTGAGCATAGCTTATTACTCACTAAACGATTACTTGAATGACGAGCGTGCATGGCAATAGTTGTTCATGCACAGGACTTTAATTTAATGTTAGACATAGACACCTATATAAATAAACTGGGTTTAAAAAAATATATTCAATTGTGGGTCTATGACGGTAGGGAAAAATTAAAATTATATTGTAAAAAATTTGACGTTCAAAAGTGGCTAAAGTGTCCTACATGAATAAATGATTTTTGAATTTGATAGTTTCGGTTCGCTCCCTGACATACCTGCTATATAAGTATCTACGTGATATGCTATGCTACATATACTATATTACATTTGTATTGCCCTTGTCACAGATTATCCACAAACTCTTTGCCAAGGATAAATGAGGAGAAATCAACATTCATAAATAAAGGTTGGTATGATATATTAATAAATACAAATATAAATTAAAAATAAATATTTTTTATGCAATTAGAATGACAAACAATCTTACGGCCCGCCTGATGGTAATTGGTAACCGTCGTCTGTATATATATACTAGCTTTTACCCGCGGCTTGCCGCAACAACAGTTACAGGGTGTTTCAGGCGTCCACGGGCCAAAGTAACCGTTTACCACCGCATGGGCCGTATGCTTGTTAGCAACCTATAGTATAAAAAATGAACAATTCATCGCCATCGACAGGGAATTCATCCCCACACGCTAAAACCTAAGTGGTCTCGGACAGTGCGGTTTCATTAGAGCTTCCTCCCGCGTACACTTAGATCGTGGAATGAACTAACTACCTGCCGAGGTTTTCTCTACAGACTACAGCATGGGGTTTTCAAGAAGGGTATATTAAGGTTTCTTAAGGGTCGGCAAAGCACATATGAAACCCCTGGTGTTTCAGGCGTCCATAGACTACGGCAACAGTTTACCATCACATGGGCCCTATGTATTATAAAAAAAATCTTGTTTATAAAAATACGTATAATTAGTAAAAATCCACCATATATATTATAAAAAAAAAATCTATATTTATCGTGAACAATTATAAAAAAACAGTATATAATTATAAAAATGTTGCAGATTATAGCACTATGTCGCTGCAGCGGTTGACAGCGCTTCGGGCGCTGATGGCGAGCCAACCCACCAAGCTGGCCGCATACATCGTGCCAACAGCTGATGCTCATCATGTAAGTATTTTACCTGACGACCTCGGTGGTCCTCGGTTTAGCATATCGCCTTACTTCCGATGGTCGCGGGTTCGATTCCTCGCACGCAAAGATTTGTATTCATGATATTGTTCTGACCTGTTCACAGTCTGAGTACATAGCCCCAGTGGACGCCCGCCGGGAATGGATATCAGGGTTCACGGGTTCCGCAGGTACAGCGGTGGTGACAGCTTCCCACGCGCTCGTCTGGACCGACGGGAGGTACTACACGCAGTTTGAGAAGGAGGCCGACCTGACGTTGTGGACGCTGATGAAGCAATGTTAGTATGATGAAACTAGTTCGAACCGGTTATATCCGGTTGTTTATATACTTTGTATACTGTTATTGTATAGTAGTGACCATCCCTTGCTTTCCACGAGTGTAAATATTCCAACTCAGATATTTCTAATATTGGAATTTAGACTGTAACATTAATATTTTAGAGTGGATATTCAGTTATTCAACGTGGCGTTGCCTGTACCCTTATAACCATTCAGATATATATGTATGTGAAACAGAATGATATCCACTCTAAAATATAGACATTAAAGGCTAATTTCCAAAATTAAATCATCAATCATATAGGATCTTTCAGTCTCTAGTGCACGTCATGATTTTTATCGATATCCCTACGGTCCAGTTCCGCTAGCTATCGAACTGGGTACTAGAAGAATCTAAGGTATATTAAGGTTTCTTAAGGGTCGACAACGCGCATGTGACACCCCTGGTGTCTCAGGCGTCCATAGGCTACGATAACCGTTTACCTTCAGATGGGCCGTGCATGTTTGCGACCTACACAGTATAAAAAATAGATAATATGTTACTGAATGTTATAAAAAAGTAAACTCTATTTTTCAGCTCTCCCTGACACCCTTTCCGTGGAAGCTTGGCTGTCCACAAACTTGACTGAAGGCGATGTGGTGGGGGTCGACCCTCACACCATGACCAGAGAAGAGTGGACGCCACTCCAAGTATGTGTTACAATATTTAGTGTTTAATTATAATAATAACTCGACGACCTCGGTGGTCTAGCGGTTTAGCACCCCGTTTTATCTCCGGTTGTCGCGGGTTCGATTCCTCGCACGACAACATTTGTATTCATGAATATGATTGTTTGTATTGTTCTGGGTGTTTTCTATGTATAATATTATGTTACATACATAATTTACGAAAAAAAATGTATCTATGTATTTGTATCAGTTATCTAGTACCCATAACAAGAATAAAAGATGAATGAATGAAATGAAAGAAAAGAATGAAAGATCTAGTTAGCTTAACTTGGGTCTAGATGGCGCTGTGTCTAAAAGTGACCATAGCAGATATCTCTCTCATCATCTGCTTCTTCCTTATCCCATTCATTTGGGGTTGACGTAATATGTTTTTCTCTTCTATTCACCCCTGTTCGCAGTCATCTCGTTATTCATCTCTTAGCATAGCAGACAATCTCTCTGTCCGTTGTAAATGTATTAAATCTATAATTACAGACAACACTAACCAGATCGAAAATGAAGTTGTTACCCGTGCCAAATAACCTGGTGGATGAAGCCAGGGTCCAGCTCAGCGATCCACCGCCAACAAGACCCAGTAACCAAATTATAGCACTACCTATCAAATATACTGGTAAGTATACATCAACCCTCTGTCTGGAGTGAGAACACAACGACTATTTATTGAAAATCAGATTAGTAGTGATAAATATATATATTTCCTAAAAAGGCTCACAGCCTGGGGCGGATCTACCTAAGGGATTTTTGGGCTGCAGGGCCCCGAGGATACAAAGAGCCCCCAGTCTCCACAGAAACGATATTTAGAATATAAAAATATCTAGAATGTTAAAAAACCTACCATAAGGTTGGCAACCCTAAGATCAATCAACCTATGCATCTATCTAAACGAACGGGGAATTTTTGGTTACTTGTTTTTGGCCTGTGTATTTTTTTAGTTGAGCAATATAATTAGGTCCCTGGGCCCCACAAATTCACGATCCACCCCTGCTCACAGCGAAAAGAAAGTAACAACAACTAGTTAAAAAGTGACATATAAAAACAGATACCAGAAATACAAAGTTTATAAAAATAATGGTAGACAAGCTGCCAGCAACAAACCCCTTATGATAACTAGTTATTGAGCGATCTTAGAGATCAAATTTGCGCTCTTAGTAACGATACTCCTCAAATTCAAATTCAAATTCAAAAATCATTTATTCATGTAGGACATTTTAGCCGCTTAAGAACGTCAAGTTTTTACATTATATTTTTTTTCCTTACCGTCCAGTTCGGTATATAGATCCAATTGAGAAGAACTGGCAAGTATTCAATTCAATTACTTTTTTTTTTAATCCAGTTTATTTACATTTATATAGGTGTCTATGTCTAACATTAAATGAAAATTCCGAACATGAAAACTATTGCCATGCACGCTCGTCATTCAAGTAATCGTTTAGTGAGTAAAAGGCCTGGCTCAGTAACAGTTAACTCCTCCGAAACAGTTTGACGGATCGACAATAAGTTTTCATCAAATGTCGACCTTCGGGCCTCCATCGTTTACCATTTAAAAAAATCCAGTGATATCCTTGAGGAATGGTCGGTGATAAAGGTTGGTTTAATAGACTTAGCGGCGGAAAAAGGCATTGTTCAAAATTAAAAATTCAAAAATCATTTATTCATGTAGGACATTTTAGTCGCTTATGAACGTCAAGTTTTTACATTATATATTTTTTCCCTACCGTTAGTAGGGATACCGTTAGTAGTGTCAGTGTTAGCACAGATAATATAATATGGCACTGATTAAAGTGTAATTAAGTACTGGAAATTAACAAAATGAGTAAATATATGAAAATTACTTTTCTAAATGCATTATTTCATTTTAACATGTATATATAACTTTTTAAAAATAGATTAAACATTTTTGAAAATACGGTTTTGTGTTATAAACGTTTGCAAAACTATGAAGAATTCCATCGATACCAATCACGCCATCTATATGCAATTTTTTAGAAATTATTATCAAATGTTCCCCATTGTGCCACACTGGTGTTAGTAATGTAGACTGATGATGTTATTGCTAGCAATGTCAGCTTGACATGGTTCCCCATGGAAACCATGGTAAATTTGTCGCAATGTCTCACTGACCTGACCTCATGCTCATTTTATCATCCTCCACTGGTGGTATATAGACTGGTCAGAGCCAAAATGGGTTTTTTTTTTGTGGTTGATAATGGAATGGTGCACCCGCCTGCGCTAACTGTTTACGCTGGCGGGGCACCAGTGGAGGATGATATGATGAACATGAAGTCAGATCAGTTAGCCCATCGTGATAAGTTCACCGGGAATTTATCAGGATGGTTTCCAGGGGGAACCGCGTGGAGGTCAACCTGACATGGTACATTGCTAGCAATGAGATAATCAATCTACATTACTAACAATCCCCTTTCCCCCTCCCCGTTTGAATTTTTTTTTGTGAATGATAGTGAAATGGTGCAACCGCCTGCGCTAACGGTTTACGCTGGCGGGGCACCAGGGGAGGATGATAAGATGAGCATGAGGTCAGGTCAGTTAGCCCATCGTGACAAATTCACCAGGAATTTAACACGATGCGCTGGAGGTCAACATGGTTTGCTAGTAATGGGTTCATTAGTCCACATTACTAACAATCCCATTTCCCCCCAGCCAAAATGGGTTAGGCGCCATGAAGTCAGCTCATTTTACAGTGGTGCCCAAGTAAAACTTCTATATAGACTGGCCAAAGAGCCAAAATGGGCTAATCAATCTGACATGAAGTCAGGTAGTTAGCTTATTTTATCATAATCCACTGGTGCCCCACCAGTGTAAACCGTTAGCACAAACGGGTGCACCATTTCATTATCATCCATAAAAAAATTGTCTAAGCAGAAATGAATAAAAGGGATTCGCTCAACATGTGACCTGGTGTGTCACACCGGTAACAAACCTAGTATTATAATTTGGTGAACAAGCTTATAGACGGATCCTCAAGGGTGTACTTGGATTAAGGTACTAAATGAAACTACAGAAAACCCTGGAATTCCCATAGTGGTTGTTCTATATGTATTAAAGTTTGGACTATTCTAATGTTGTTGATCGCAACTGGCCTTTACAGCTTCACCGAACGGTAGGGGACGAGTGTAGATGGCACTCCAAACTAAAGGAAGTACTTATATAAGAACGGTTATAGAACGGCTGAAGGACAACTCCTGACGGATACGACTTTGCTCTGAGGCCACCGCCAGGGGTTCGAATCTCGGCTCAGGCCGTCGTAATTCCCGTTTCAATTGGACAGAGGGACTTTATATTCCGGTCAAGAGTATTAGAATAGCCCGAAAATAATATTTTTTTTTCGGCTTCATCTTCCTGTCATTAATTTTTCTTCTTCAATTAAAGGTAAGACGGCCGGAGAGAAGATAAAAGAACTGAGAAAGAAGATAGCAGAAAAGAAAGCGTTCGCGCTTGTTGTGACAGCGTTGGACGAGGTTGCTTGTGAGTATATTTTTAACTGATTTAAAAAAGGAGTTTTAATTTTAGTAAGTTTCAATAATTTCCATGTAATTTTTGTTCCTGTGCTGAAAAACAGCGCTGTAGCGCTGGTAACAAACGGTGTGGCAATACGCTGAGTACAGACCTATTTAGTGTGCCACAAAAAAAAAAGAAAATATTAAAGATTTTAAAATCAACAAATGTGATGTGGGTGCTATTCAGAGCATACTATATGCCCCTACTACGGATATTGTGTGCGCTGATAAAAGCAACTTAATAAGTAGATCCCTCGCAGTTGGCAATTATTTCATTGTTTATTATTTTTAAGAATTGTTCCGATTAGTTTGCAATAATGGGGTTGACATGTCTGAAAACAAAAACCCCAAAATAAATCTAGATTAAAAAACAAAAGAAAAAAGTAAATTCTCTGTTCTATGTAGTGAACAGTGTGACAGACATATAAATGCACAGGAAGGAAAGGGATTGTTAGTAATGTGAATTAATTACTCAATTGCTAGCACTGTACCAAGTCAGGTTGACCTCCACGCGGTTCCTCCTGGAAACCAACGTGATGAATTCCTTGTGAATTTGTCACGATGGGTCAACTGACCTGACTTCATTCTCATGTAATCATCCTCCACTGGTGCCCTGTCAGCGTAAACTGTTAGTGCAGGTGGGTGCATCATTCCATAATCTATACATATAAATAAAATTGTCTGTTTGTAATATTGAAAAAAATTTTTACTACATGTATATGAATCTAAATACGGTACATACACCAAAATAAAAATTTTTGTCTGTCTCTCTGTCTGTTTATTCCGGCTAATCTCCGAAATGGCTGGACGGATTTTGACGGGATTCTTATTTTGGTATATGTAGCGTATTTATATTCATATGCATGTAGTAAAAAACGGTTATTTCAATATTACAAACAGACACTCCCATTTTATTTATATGTGTATACGTATAGATTAAAAAAATATTACCTTCTTTTATATTTCCACTAATGTTTAATTATATATATATATATATATATATATATATATATAATTCTTAATTAGAATAAATATTTAAAACCTTAAAACTTCGCTATTTATCAGTTTGTATGCATACAAAATTCTTCATAATGTAATAACTAAACATTTATTTCAGATTTCAACGCCGCCAACGTATATTAATAACGCAGGCAGGTGCACCATTACATTATCATCCATTAAAAATAAATAAAACTATACGTGTTTCCAGATATCCTAAACTTAAGAGGCAGTGATATTGACTACAACCCGGTCTTCTTCTCCTACCTGGTGATCACGCCGGCCACGACCGTTCTCTTCTGGTCCTCTGGCAGTCTACCTGATGCTGTGACAGAACAGCTCAAAGAGGAAGGCGTGAAGATTGATGCGAGACCTTATAGCAATATAGTGCCTTATTTACAGGAATTAGCGGTGAGTGAATCTCTTTGTTTACAAGAGCTTATTCCTTTTTAAAAGGCCGACAACGTACTTGTAATTCCCCTGGTGTTGCGGGTGCTCATGGGCGGCGGTAATCACTTACCATCAGGTGAGCCGCATGCTCGTTTGTCCCCTGTGTTATAAAAAAAAAATCCTTCTTAGTAATATTAAAAATGCGAAGGTAACTCTGTCTGTCTGTCTGTCCCGCTTTCACGCCAAAATTAGTGGACCGAGTTAAATGAAATTTGGTACGCAGATAGTCTAGACCCTAAGAAAGGATATAGGCTACTTTTTAATGCGATGAAGTGGTTGTAAGGGGTTGAAGGGGATGAAATATATGGAAGTATCGTCATTTTAATGCTAGAAGCTTGAAACTTATTTTTTAGGCTGTTTATTAAATATAAATAAATATGACGTTGAAAGTTTCTAAAAAATACCCTTAAGGGGGTAAAATAAAATAAGCAATGAAAAATTATATGGAATTTCATAATTTTTGTAACTAGAACAATGAAACTTTTGGGTTAGATTTATTATATATTTTTTTATTTGGTCAAGGTCACTATTCTACGTGGAAGAAGTCGCGGGCCGCGATTAGAAGGGAAATATTGTTTACAGCTAGTAAACAATATTTCTCTTCTATGTTCTATTCTAATTACTATTGAAAAAGTATGTGTGAGTGTATGTTTTTCATGTATTATTGTATGACTGTTACAGAAACACGAGGCAGCTGGCGGCGGTCGGTCCGTCTGGTTGTCTAGTGAGGCCAGTGAGGCGATACACAGGGCCGCCTCTGGGGTGAGCAAGTATACTGAGATATATTTATTACTATCATTTTAGACACTTATGTCCTTGTCTATACTAATATTATAAATACGAAAGTGTCTGTCTGTTTGTTACAATTTCACGACTAAACCACTGAATGGATCTTGATGAAATTTGGAGTGAAGATTAATGATGATTGTACTGTTTATCTTCCTAATTGTCGTCTCTTAAACACACACCACTGCTCTCGTCGTTCAGAGCATAATGGCCGCATGACGCCAGCATTATGCGATAGAGACATAATGCTTCCTTCTCTTTCCCACATATACTAAAATGATGATATATGAACAGTGCGAGGTGGTGGATCAGCCGCTCACGCTTGTCTCCGAGGTGTCGCCGGTGGCGCTGATGAAGCTGGTGAAGAACCAAGTGGAGCTGGAGGTTTGTGAGATCACATAATTTTTATTTATATATTTAAACTTTAATGATTGAGTGTTCCTGCCTTCTATGATCTATAAATTAGAGAAGAGATTATCTCTTCGGGTTGGTCGTTACAACATACAATATCTACTGTTTTATTACGTTTTTATTTTTTTTATCAAATATTGGTTAACATGCACTAACTACGTTTTTGTTACGTTTTTATATTTTATTTTTTTAGTGCTATCTCACTATTTCATTGTCAGATTCTTGTAGTAGTCTTAAGTATGTTATATGGTATATTTGATTTATGTATTTTATTCATATTTATTTATAGCTTTATATATATATATTGTATGTATAACATGTATTATTATAGATGTACTTACTTTACGTATATATGTATATACTTTTCATTACCTAAATATTATTTTTCTTATTAATTATATTGGCACCGCTTACAATCTTTCTCTGCACAACCTGAGGTTGACTGGTGGAAAATGCGGTAAGACGTTAAGTCCGCCATATATACTTTTACCTTGGTATGTTGCGCTTTCAAGTTATATAAATAAATAATTTGCAGGGCTTCCGGAACTGTCACGTACGGGACGGGGTAGCGGTAGTTCGATTCCTGAGGTGGTTGCATGAACAGGTTGATAGCAACCAGACCATCACTGAGATACAGGCCGCGGACAAACTGCTAGAGTTTAGAAAGTAAGTACCTCATTCAAATAGTTTTGAACAACTCCTTCGATCGATCCCCCGTCCAATTCAAACGAGGATCGATATTACAACGGCCTGAGCCGAGGTTCGAACCCCTAGTGGTGCCTTCAGACTAAAGTCGTATACGTCAGGCAGGAGTTGGCCTTCAGCCGCTCCATAAGTCCTTCCTTTGGTTTTGATTGCCATCTGCACACCCCTAACATCCGGTGAAGGTGTAAAGGCCAGCTGAGGCCAACAGCATTAGAGTTGTCCGAAAAAAAAATAGTTTTGAACATATACATAGAATCTGGAAGAAATCATTATGTTCTTTTTTTTGGGGGAGGGGGAGGGGAAAGTAGTAGTTTTTTAAAGACTGGATATATCATCATCGCAGCCCGGAAGACGTCCACTGCTGGCCATAGGCCTCCCTCAAAGTTCCCCACGACGATCGGTCCTTTAGATATATACTCTGTGCTAAAGAGAACCTATAGCACTGCGACCTGCATTGATCTATATGCTCGCCGTTGTATTTCCATGTGATATATTAGAATATATGTAGGTAGATGAATTATTAAATTAATTGTAGGTAAAACTGTTTACGGTTAGGCTTTATCTGTCATTAAACGCCGTTAAGCAAACATGTTATTTATTGCTCTCCGCTATAGAACATTCCAGTATTTCTCACTTCTTTACCCAAAAGTCTGGAAGAGATTACTTAAAGACACAGAGATTATAAGACCGCCTTTTGTTCTTACTCTATAAATAAGATCCATTTCTAGTAATAAATTTAAAAAAATTATAGAATAATGTGAAGTTTTTTTTAAATAAACTAAGCAAATTCTCAGATGGTATATGTAGTTACTGCACTGAATTGCGGCATATGATGTGCAACTTGCATGTAACATGGCATATAACTGGCACATAACTGCATGTAACCAAAAAAAGGCGAAAGAATAGAATGGAATAGAAAATCATTTATTCAAATAAACTTACATTGAAGCACTTTTGAATAGTCATTACATTTTTTTTTAATCTACCGCTCGTTCGGAAAGCTGTCTCATCACAAGAAAAGAAGAAAGTCCTAAATATCACAGCATCTACTTGCAAAATGTAATTATGAGATTTAGTTTTACAGGCAATTCTAAATATTATGGAACAGCGCCATCTAGTTGACACTAGTCAAAATTGTAATGTTGTACTATGCTAATGCAACTATGCAAGTACTGCAATATACTACTAGATGGCGCTGTAAAGCAAATTTTTTTTTAAGATTTTCTTTTTACGTTTAAATGTTTAATTTAAATTTATTTATTACTAGCTGTGCCCGCGGTTTCACTCCCATGAAATATATAAAGCCTGTATGTTATTCTGATGATTAAGCTATATTACTGTAAAGTTTCATCATAATCGAAAGAGTAACAAACATGGATGGATCCATACTCACAAACTTTCACGTTTATAATATTAATAAGGTTTAGAGCAGAGTTGTCAATTTTGCAGAGGGGCCAGATTCAAATAAAAAATGTTCCGAATGATTGTGTATTAAAAAGTGTTGTAACTTTTATTCCAGAGATGAAGCCGATTTTATGGGCCCCTCATTCGAAACAATAGCAGGGGCTGGGGCTAACGGGGCCATAATACATTACAGCCCCTCAAGAGGGGGACCACAGGTGGTGATCAATCAACGGGACATGTTTTTGTTAGACTCCGGAGGCCAATACAAGTAAGGATATACAGGAATTACATTTAAATAAATTTAAAATATCTGTTAAATTTTATTAAGCAAAAGCTATCATTTCGAAAAAGACAATGGGTCTACTGAATTGGACGGTAAGAAAAAAATGTTAATAAACTTGACTTTCATAAACAGCTAAAATGAAATGAATAAATATTTTTTTTATTTGATTAGACTCATTAATTTTTGTTTTTGTTGTAATCAATGGTAAAATATGAGCAGGTGAGGTAAAAGTTACATCGCGACTATTTGATACTCCGTAGAGTCATCGTCTGAGAATCAGTCAACATCTATTTTTCATACTCCTTAATGTTAATGTTGACCCACCCATTAAAGAATTTTTTTATATTTTGATTTGCCATTAAAATACTTACAATACTAAATTTTCAATCTTGTAACCACCAACCCCTATTTTTTAATAGCAGTATTACTACTTTTATTATTGCCAAAACAACGTTTTGACAACTAGTACTTTTTAAGTACTTTTACCCCTTGTATTATATATATTTTTCAATAATAATATCGCTTTTATACCTTACGATATAAGCGATTCCAAAAACATTAAAAAATTAATCATCAAAATCCGTTACTAGACATTTCTTACTCGGAGGGTATTTGTCCCACAGCAAAACGAAACGTTAGCGAGTTTCAATTTTGTACAGCGCCATCTAGTGACTACTGGCGAGAACTAATACTGAACATTGCGTACACTGCTTACTGATTTGAATTCTATCGAAACTATTATAAAATACTAATTATCTTATATTTTCAGTATATTAGTACGATTTAAATAAAAATATATTTATCTATATATATAAATAAAATTGGAGTGTCTGTTTGTAATATTGAAATAACCGTTTTTTACTACATGCATATGAATATAAATACGATACATACACCAAAATAACATTTTTTTTTAATTGTATGTATGTCTGTTTGTTTCGGCTAATCTCTGAAATGGCTGCGCCGATTTCGGCGGAATATTTTTGGCAGGTAGTTAATGTAATAAGTAGTAACTTAGGCTGCTTTTATTTTAGAAACTTTATTTTATTTTAGAAAAAAAAAAAGTATAATTCCACGCGGACGAAGTCACGGGTACAGCTAGTCACATATAATAGTGAATAACCTAATATGATATCTATAGTAATAGCTAGCTTTTTTTATGTTATTGTAATATCTGCCGCTTCCTTTGTGTCGACACTCGACATCCTTTTGACTTAATTTTTTTTTATCCTATAGATGTATAACCCTACAATAGTTGTTTTGTCATATAAATTAAAAATACTATTAATTAATAAGGGTTGATGTTTTTTTTTTTGTTGATGATAATGAAATGGTGCTACCGCCTGCGCTAACGGTTTACGCTGGCAGGACACCAGTGGAAGATGATAAGATGAGCATGAGGTCAGGTCAGTTAGCCCATCGTGACAAATTCACCAGGAATTTAACACGATGGTTTCCAGGGGGAACCGCGTGGAGGTCAACCTGAAATGGTACATTGCTAGCAATGGGGTCATGAGACTACATTACTAACAATTCCCTACCCCCCAAGGGTTGATGTTAGAAAGGTGAAAAGGATTATATTTCTAATACCATATTAAAAAATAAAATGTCCAAAAAATAAAAAAAAACTTAGGGGTGGACAATCGTTATCACTTAGGGATATGAAAAATAGATAGTAGCCGAATCTCAGACCTACTGAATATGCATATAAATTTTAATAAAATTTCATAGACATCGAAGGAGTATAGTTTTTTTTATAGATGATAATGGAATGGTATACCCACTTGCACTAACGGTTTACGCTGGCGGAACACCAATGGAGGATGGTAAGATGAGCATGAGGTCAGGTCCCATCGTGACAAATTCACCAAGAATTTATCACGATGGTTTCCAGGGGGAACCGCGTGGAGGTCAACCTGACATGGTACATTGCTAGTAATGGAGTCATGAGTCCACATTACTAACAATCCCCTTCCCCCCTATAGGCGACGGTTACAGCTCACCATCAGGCGGGTCGTAAGCTTGTTCGCCATTCGAGTTGTATATATTGATTGTTTTTACATAAATGTTTCAGGGACGGTACAACAGACATCACCAGGACTCGGATGATGAATAGATCACCATCATCAGAACAGAGGGATGCGTTCACAAGAGTGCTTAAGGGGCAGATTGCTATCGGCAGCGCTTTGTTCCCGGTTGGCGTTAAGGTACTTATTATATATATAGACCACTCGTTGCTGTGGCAAGGTTCTTGAATAAAATAATATTGCGACTATAAATTGAGATGTAAGCTATCCTATTTTTCAAGTTTGATCAAATTGCACACAATGTGCAAATCAACTTTGCATCGGTTCAGTAGTTTAGAGTCCATTGCGGACAAACAACGTGACACGTAATTTTTATATATAAAGATTATCTTATATATAAAATTCTCGTGTCACAGTTTTCGTTCCCATACTCCTCCGAAACGGCTTGACCGATTCTCATGAAATTTTGTGAGCGTATTGAGTAGGTCTGACAATCGGCCAACATCTATTTTTCATCCCCCTAAATGTTAGGGGTAGTCCAACCCAAAATTTTATTTTAATTTAAGGCAAAACAACATTTGCTAGTATTGTATAAAGATTTCCCTTGCTATCGGCAGCGGTTCGTTCCCAGTTGGCGTTAAGGTATATATCTTAATGTATCTTCACGGCTATATTACGAAATGGGGTTGCCAGAAGCATTATCCTCGTTGGTTTAGCGGTTTGGCATGCTTTATTTTCGATGGTCTCGGGTTCGATTCCTCGCACGGTACAAACGTTTGTATTGACGAGTATGATTGTTTGCATCGGTCTGGGTGTATATTATATATATTGTTGTGTTTACAAAAAAAACATCTAATAGATTTGTATAAGTGTAACATAAGCTCTGCTTACCGTGGGACTAGATGGCGCTGTGTTAATTGTCTAGGATTATTTGTTTATGTATCCATAATACAGGTTGGTTAGCTTATTTATTTATTTCAGGCTACATGGCCCATATTAGAAATATCTTATAGACTAACATACATATTTATCTATATAAATGTATATATTGTTAGTATATAAATATATTTTTATATTGTATTTGTAGTTATATATCACATTTGACGTTAATTCTTTAGTTTTAATTTTTAATATATCTTTTCCTAATTTTATTATATGCACTTCTGTAACCCACACACCACTTCCTGAGCCACGCTGTTTTGGGTTGACTGGAAGAGATCTCATTTAGAGATAAGCCCTCATTTGTAAACAAAACTTATAACATATATTCAAAACTTGTATTTAAAAGTGCAATAAAGTATATATATATATATATTAATTAACTAGCTGTGCCCTGTGTATGTGTAAAGAGTAACAAACATCCATACTTACATATTTTTGCGTTTATGTTAGTAAGATATTATAAAGCTTAGTACTAGATGGCGCTGTGTGAACTGTCCTGAGATATTATTATATTTAAAGTTATATAAATAAACAAATATATTTTTTATAATAAAATTTCAGGGTAACGTCCTGGATAGTTTGGCTCGTAAAGCGTTATGGGACGTGGGACTGGATTATGCCCACGGGACGGGCCACGGCGTGGGACACTACCTCAACGTGCACGAGGGACCCACCGGCATCTCGTGGAGGCCGTACCCGCACGACCCGGGAATGAAGCCCGGACAGATACTCAGCAACGGTATGCATACATACATTACATGTGGAAAAAAAATGTAGGTCCCGCTATATGTACGGTACGTCCCCCTCCGATCGATGCGAGGGAGAAGGGAATTGTTAGTAATGTGGACTAATAACCCTATTGCTGACCATGTACCTTATCAGGTTGACCTCCACGCGGTTCCCTCTGAAAACCATTGAAATAAATTCCATGAATTTACCACGATGAAATAGAAATAATTCAAATAAACTTAATATAAGCACTTTTGAATAGTCAAGGTTTTTTATTCTACCGCTTATTCGGAATGCAGATTCATCACAAGAAGAATAAGCAAGAAACTTGTGTGTTGCTCTTTTAAATAAATATTGATTTACTTATATTTAATTAACAACAAGGATTAGGCATGCGACAATCAACGTAGAAACCGCTACGCACTTAATCTCTGTTCAATCAGTTAACATTGTCAGCGCTATGATGTGCTAACTGACCTGACCTCCTGCTCATCCTATCATCCTCCACTGGTGCCCCGCCAGCGTAAACCGTTACCGCAGGCGGATGTACCATTACATTATCATCCATTTAAAAATAATACATATTTTAGTGTGTACTGTTTTTTTTAATGATTTAAGAGTATAAAAAAATACTACTAACACTATTCTGCACTCGTTCTCTATATACACTATAAGTGTGCGAAATTTCATACACAGACCGCACAATTTTAGTACAATGGGGTACAAAGTTTTGTCTTCACGTATTTATATAATTATATTATTCAAATATATATTTCTAGGAATTTTGTATGAATACAAACATATGTTAAGTATTATTTATGTATGTATTTACAAAAAAATGTATCTCAGTATATCTATCTGTTTTCTAGTACCCATAACACAAGCTTTAATAACCTTGGGAATATATGGCGTTGTGTCCAGGGATATTATTACTAAATTGGCAAACGTAATGTAGGACGGCCCGCTAGCGAAGCGACGACATACGTAGGGTTGTGGGTAATAACTGAAAGAGAAGGGCTGAAGTTCGTGCCTTGGGAGAGGCCAATGTCCAGCAGTGGACTGCAGTGAGCTGATGGCGATGACGATGATGAGTGAATGAATGAATGAATGAAAAACACTTTATTGTTCCTCTCACAGAAAGAGTAATTACATAAATTAATATGTACATTAAATATGAAAATAATAACAAAATAATTATAATATAGAGGTAACAATGAGCGGCCTTATCGCTAAATAGCGATTTCTTCCAGGCAACCTTAGGATGGAGAGGAGTGATTAGACTGTGTCTGGTCGAGGTATAACAATTTGTTGTTGGATGTAGAATTTACATATCATATACATATAACTACATAATAATCATTATATATAAAATATACATACACACATATATATACATACAAATAAATTAAATAATATCTATACAATAGCGACGTTACTATGCAGATAAGTTTCGTGAATAATATTTTTTTATGTGTGAGTGAGTGGTGAGTTATCAGAGCAGGCCGGTCTATTATTAGTACTGTTATTATCAGAGCATGTCTGTATGTCTGTATGTCATTTGTAATTGTATTTTTCAGAGCCGGGTTTCTACAAAGTGAATGAATATGGCATACGCCACGAGGACCTGGTCGAGATTGTGGCGATCACGAAGGACTCCGATCATCCCAGGGTTAGTAACGTATAATCTTATATATCAAATTCTAAAGTCACAATGTTAGTTACCATACGCCTCCGAAGCGGATTGACCGATTTTTATAAAATTTTATATACATTCAATAGCTCTGAGAATCGTCTACTATCTATTTTCATACCCATAAGTGATAAGTTTGTCCACCTGTAACATTTCTTTTATTTTTTATAATGTGCAATTAAAAATACACACACCCTAAATTTTCACCCTTCTATCATCAACCCTTATTTTTTAATAGCGATTTTAATTTATGTGGCGGTACAAAGTTTGCGGTGTCAGTATTCCATGTAATTACATAAATAGACAGTACGTATATGTTTTATGTGTGATATACAGTGAAGAAAACATATAAATAATATATTAAAATCAAAATATCTTTATTCAGGTAAGTCTATTCCAGACTCTTATATGTCCAATCTACCAAAGTACTTTGGAGGTAAGAAGAACTAACAAGAAAATCAGCTCGTATTCTTTTCAAATATGGTTGTACATGTTTACAGGAATAAAGATTCATTTTTAAATTCAAATTTAAGAGAATAGAGTGACCAACAGCATATGCTATTGCTATTTTGTCAAAAGCAAATAGTCTAATTAGTGACCGTAACAAGAACAGATCAAGTCAAACAGCACCCGTTCACGAGTATGACGAATAACGAATTATTATTTGTTTTGTGTGATTACAGGCGAAGAACTTGATTGGTGATTACGACGGGCGCGGGGTACTGGGGTTCAATACGTTGACGATGGTGCCCCATCAGCGGGAGTGTGTCGACGTCACCATGCTGGACGATTTGGAGGTAATATTGTTGACTGAATATATTATATGAGTAACATTAGAGTAGAGGTAGTATGAAAGTGGCGCCGGTGTCGGAGAGGTTGAAGAGTGATCGTCTACCGTGGTATGGGCATGTAATGTGTTTGAATGAAGATATTATTTTAAGGAAGGTGTTATATATGAATTCCACATTCATTCTTTCATTCGTATATACATATTATATATAGAAAACACCCTGACTGATACAAACAATCATACTTATGATACGAAATTTTGTGCCGTGCGAGGAATCGAACCCGCGACCATCATAAGGCATTTTCTCCCAGTCGACCATAGGGCAAACAGAGATTAGTGGGCGGTGCATTTAAGTAAATTAAATAATAAAAGGAGAAAGGTACAATTATAATAAAATTCATAAATTGAAATATATATATCCAACTACATACATACTTAAATAAGAATATATAAATATAAATATATTATATATATATATACATATACATATACATTCAAGTACATAATAAAATACTTTTAAAATTTATACATATATATCAAATACAAATCAACAATGAGATATAATCAATCATGACAAATCAAGAGTGAAAGCGGGAGATAAATTAACACTATATTAATGTATTCATTTAATTACAAAAGTCGTTGGAAAGATGTTTTCTTAACTTGGATTTGAAGGTAAATTTGGTAGTACTCGATTTAATGTCAAGGGGCAAAGCATTCCAGTGTTTAATAGCCTGAAGCATGAAAGATTTAGAGACGAAGCTCGTACGATGAGCAGGAACGTGCAAGAGTAGATTCCTAGACGGACGAAGATTACGGTGAGAGATGTCCCCATGAAAAAGAAATTTGGTCTTAAGATACTCAGGAGTGTTTGGATCGTATAGGACTGAATACAATGGTTATAAGGGCAGAGAAAGGCTGCAAAAGAGATGGATGGACTGTGTGAAAGATGATATGATAAGAAAGGAAGTAAATAACGAGATGACTGCGAACAGGGATGAATGGAAGAGAAGAACATATAAATGGGATAAGGAAGAAGCAGATGATGATTGTTGACTGGTTGTTGCCCCCGGCTTTGTTTGATCACCTCGGCTGTATAAAATAGACAGTAATCTTGTTCCAGTATTCTTGTTATATATATAATTGTACTGTATTTAAATAAATAAAATGCTAAATTGCGCTTCACATTTAATCCTGAAATCCTTCACATTGATTCCTGATTGTAAAAATGGCGGCAACGGCCTACGTTCCCGCCATTTTTACAATCAGGCTCTGTCAACTGCACAGAGTACGTTATGAACAATATTAATTATGCCAAAGACTACATATACTACAATAATACTAGGAAACTCATTAAGTTAACATTAAAAGATAGACATAGATGAATGAGAATTTTTTTAGAACTTTCAATAAAGAACAGTTCCGTAATTTTAACCGTTTACGAAGCATACCCAGAGGATGCAGTCAAAATAATAATAATAATAAGTCAATATAGTCAGTCATAGAAAATTTCTATCTTCATCACATAACTCATCCATGCTTGGCTAAGGCCCGCGTGTTTGAATATATTACCCCCGTAAAAAGGGAGATATAATATATATATATATATATATATATATATATATATATATATATATAAACACCTCTTTGGGCACTTTGTTGATCACGCCACAACCTAAACACTTGCCGATTCCACCTTTTGCACTGAATAACTTGACTCCTATCGCGTATATCTCAGGCGGTATGGCAACGTCGCATTCTACTTTGCGATGTGGCCATATATATTCGTCGATAGTACGATATACTCGACACATTTTTTACTAATAATTCGTGCATGACTGGCTCCGAACGGCTAAATTTTTGGTATACACAAAGACTTTTTGGCTCTGAATATATTTCAAAAATCAATTAATTATGTTGATCACTTTATATACTCGTCCTTACTGCGATACTTATTTTCATCCGAATATATATAGATACCGTAACGGTCTATCAATTATGAATTTATTAATTTACTAATGTAGATATTTTATATTCGCAATGCTCCATACATAGTAACTCCACCGTTGCAGGGGGAGCACCGTACACCGCACCCCGCGCACACAAACAAATTAGATATTTTTTGAATACACAAAGACTTTTTGGCTCCGTATATATATTTCAAAAATCAATTAATTGTATTGATCACTTTATATACTGGTCCTTACTGCGATACTTATTTTAATCCGAATATATATAGATACCGTAACGGTCTATCAATTATGAATTTATTAATTTACTAATCTAGATATTTTATATTCGCAATGCTCCATACATGCAAGCTCCAGCAACGGTGGAGGCAGGGGGAGCACCGTACACCGCACCCCGCGCACACAAACAAATTAGAATAAATTAAATTCATAAGATTATTTATGTATTTCGACTGCCTCGGTGGTCACACCGCTTTACATCCGATGGTCGCGGGTTCGATTTCTCGCACGGTGCAAACATTTGTACTCATCGGTCATCGATTGATTTCATCGGTCTGGGTGTTTTATATGTATATTATATATGTATTTACAAGATAAAAATATCTATTTATATCAGTTCAGTATCAGTCTGTGTTAATTGTCCAGCGCTATTTATTATATTTTTATAAACGGTTATCTTTTTCCATCGCACCGCTCGCTATCGACAGTGAATTCATAGAAATGTCACTCTAAAAACAAAAATAGTTTTGTATTTCAAATACTAAATGCAAAATAGGTATTTTCAAAATACTTTTTCAAAATAAAGTACCTTTTGAATTTTTGTCCAAACCTCAGATATTTTATTTATTTTACATAGGTATATCAATCATTACATAGTGTAGTATAAAACAAAGTCGATGTCGCATCTAACAGTACATAAATAAAGAAAGAAGACTTTTTGGCTCTGATACCGTAACGGTCTATCAATTATGAATTTATTATACCTAATCTAGATATTTTATATTCGCAATGCTACATACATTGTAATATCCGCCTCCATTCATTGTAACGGTGGAGGGACTAAATAGTTGAATAAAACTGAATAAGCAGTTGCTCCACTCTATAGGTATGCGTCGTCGTCGTATGCTGTTCATTTTTTCACTCGTTTTGGCGCCAAGAGAGGGTCACATAGTCGTGGTCAAGTTAAGAACTTATAATTTAATTTTGATGACAATAGATACAAGTAAAAAGTAGGTATTATATTAATGTACGTAAGTACTGTACTTAAAAATATTTATTCTTTATTGTACATTTGAAAAACTTAACACTTAAGGACTTGTACATATACACGTACATACTGCCATTTTCTCTTAAAGACATCCAGAGAAGCACTATTTATCAAATACGCGGGGTGCACCGACCTTTGACCTTATAACAGCTGATTCGCGCGTAACGAATTACATTGCTACTTACATTACTATTTTATAGTGGATATTTCACTATAAAATATTATTATTTCTTTAGATTATGACATAATAGCATAGTTTACATGATTTTAAGGGAAACATACGATAAAAAAAATTCCCGTAAAATGTAAAAGATAAAAAATGGTTATTGTTGGTTATCCTTGAGAGATAGACATATACCATCACGGACTTTTTTGTTGACCTTATTTTGATACATCTCAAAGCACTAGACAATACGCATTTTCATTAAACAGTATTGTATTTTTTTTATTTATTTAACTTTAATGCACAAAAAAATTTGTACATGTGGCGGACTTAATATCTTGCCGCGTTATTTACCAGGCAACCATGAGTGGTGCAGCGAAAGATTATTGGCGGTGCACTAATATAAATAAGAAATGTCAAAAAAAGATATATAAATACAAAGCAAAATATACATTTCTATAAAAAAATAACAATATACATACATAAATATATAACCCATAAATGTATAAATAAATACATAATGACCCGATAATCAAATTATAAGTACAGTCTCAAATTGAAAGTAAGAAAAACAGAAAATATAGAGAGAACTATAGGGATATAACAGAAAGATGTTAAAAAAGGAGAAGGACAGTAAAAAAGTTACAAATTTAAATAATATTCCCGCAATTTCTGTTTAAATGAATTTATTACATTATTATATATATTAGGCATACGACTAGCCTTATGACTGTTACTTTTTTTTTAATCTATACATCTATACATGTAAATAAAATTGGAGTGTCTGTTTGTAATATTGAAATAACCGTTTTTACTACTTGCATATGAATATAAATCCGGTACATACACCAAAATAACATATTTTACAAGTTTTGTCTGTCTGTCTGTCTGTTTGTTCCGGCTAATCTCTGAAATAGCTGGACCGATTTTGACGGGACTTTTTTTGGCAAGTAGCTGATGTAATAAGGAGTAACTTACGCTACTGTTATTTTAGAAAAATAAAATAAAATTTCACGCGGACGAAGTCGCTGGGGCCAGCTAGTCTATAGATATACTGAGATTTAATATTTAAGTTGCTATTATGTTGTTGACAAAATTTTACTGTAATGTTACTATTACGTTATCCTACACAATTTGTATTATTTTGGATGAATAAATAAATAAATAAATAATAATCTATACATCTATACATATAAATAAAATTGGAGTGTCTGTTTGTAATATTGAAATAACCGTTTTTTACTACATGCATATGAATATATATAAGGTACATATACCAAAATAACAATTTTTATAATTTTAGTCTGTCTGTCTGTCGGTCTGTTTGTTCCGGCTAATCTCTGAAATGGCTGGACCGATTTTGACGGTACTTCTTTTTGGCAGGTAGCTGATTTATAAGGAGTAACTTAGGTTACTTTTATTTTAGAAAAATAAAGTTTAATTCCACGCGGACGAAGTCGCGGGAACAGCTTGTTTTTAATAAAAACATCTTTTTTGTGGTACTTGAGAATGTTGAAGCCTGTTGTTTGTAATATTGAAATAACCGTTTTTTACTACTTGCATATGAATATAAATACGGTACATAATACACCAAAATAACATATTTT